TTAGTGACTGCTGTTGGGCGGCAAACGTCCGCAATTTTGGCTCAGTGACCTCCTCTGGAGATATGAGGTTCTTTTACGTGCCGTAAAGCTACGACACGGGACCCACGGCTTAAAGTCCCTACCAGAGGACTTGTTCCCTGAATTTTTCCGCCCTTAAAAATTCGACGACCTCCACCGGGTATTTGAACCCACGTACTACGAGTCATGAGGTGGGAACGTTACTATGACATACTATATAAAATTATTATTTTGGACTTGCTCATATCTGAGTTTATTAAGTTACTGTTATGCAGCTCTTTAACCTATTCAACTCTGCACCATTGTTGGTGCCACTTTAGGTGCAGTTAGCTGCTGTCAGTATCTGTGTGCAAAAGTAGAAGAACTGTAATAATGATAACTCATAAAATTGATCTCAGGGATTCTTGGGTTGGATCAGTAATTAGCCCAAGTATGACAGATGCTGCTATCGTTCATAAATATCAAGATACAATTTCAATAGAGTCCAGTGAGTCTGGGTGGTGGCATAGCAGCAGATTTGCTGATATATGCATAACACGGGTTTGCATTTGAAGCAAGAGTTATGTTATGTTTTCAAAGACACATTGTTTACAGTTTACATACTGATTGTACAGTCTGTTAGCTATGACAGATATGGATGAATTAATATACATATATTGTCTCATAATCACAGCACAGTTCATATGGGATTGATCGCAGGCTGGATGGCCGTAGTTTGATTCCCAGGAGGCGCAAGAGATTTTTCTGTACTCCGCAGCTTCTAGCCTGGCTCTGGGGCTCACCCAGACTCCTATACAATTTGTACTGGGACTGTTTCCCTGGGGGGGGGATCAGGTTTCCAAGGTCAAGAATACTGGATATTGTAATGCACTTTGCGTTACAACTTTAGCACTCTCACTTCACTGTCTCTGTTGCAATTTAATCTGTGGTGTTGAAGAAGGATGGAGAAGTTGGACCGATTATGTGAGAAATGAAGAAGTGTTATTTAGAGTCAGTGAGCAGAGGAATATCCTACACGAAATAAGAAAACTGAAGGCTAATTGGATTGGTCATATATTATGTGGTAACTGCCTTCTAAAAGAAGTTATTGAAGGAAAGATAGAGGGGCGGATAGAAGTGACCAGAAGACGTAAGAAGATGCTGGATGACCTTGGGGACAGAAGAGGATATTTTCATTTGAAGGAGAAAGCTCTTGATTGCATCAAATGGAGGGACTGTTTTGGAAGAGACTGTGGACCTGTCGTCTTGACAGATTACAGATGATGAATGAATTAGAATTAACACTTCAAAGTCATTTTCTCTCATTATTTATACCTTATGTTTTGGCATAACTGGGAATCATGAGGTGTATAAGATTGTAGATGAAAATTGCTGCTCTGTTGTTATGCTGTTGTATTTTGCATTTTACAAGTAATATAAATTGCTTATGAAATATTCAATTTATTTCTTAGATTATCATGTCATGATTAGGCCGCGTCATAGCTCAAGCAGTTAGTTGCTGGTGACCCAGTGGTCCAGGTTTGATCCCGGGTCTGGTCAAGTGGGATTTGTGGTGGACAAAGTGGCACTGGGATGGGTTTTCTCCAAGTACTTCGGTTTCCCCTGCCAATCTTCATTCCACCAAATTCTCCATCGTCATAATCACCCGGGGCAGGCTACAATAGGCCAGTCAGCGGCTGCCGTGGCGAGTGGACCCAGTTGGACTCCACCCCCCACTAAGCAGATTAAAAAAAATCATGCCATGGTTACTTTTGTTGTGCACACATGATGCGGGTTCAATCTATTTGTAATATGAAATAAAGGGTTATATTAGTGTTTTATTTAAGAGGTGGAAATGTTATATTCCATTATTTTATCTCTATGATTTTAATGTTACTTATGTTTTTTTTTTGTGTGTGTGTGTTGGTTTCTTTTGACTGCCCCTGTGGTCTAGTGGTCAGAGTTCCTGGCTACAGATCCAGAGGTTCTGGGTTCGATTCCTGGAGCTACTGGATATTCTGAGAAGTAGTTCTGGTCTGGAACGGGTTCCACTTAGCCTTGTTAGGATAATTGAAGAGCTCTTTCAAGGACATAGTGGCTCTGGTCTAGAAAACCTAGATTAATGGCTGTGGGGATCCATTGCTCTCGCCATGTGACACCCTCTATTTGCAAGAGTTGGCACTATCTTTGCTGACAAGCGGTGGTCACTCTGTCAGTATAGTTTGCTCGCGGACTACAGGCCACAGAGTTTGTTTTGTTTCTTTCTTTCTTTTGCGTTGTGTGTAGCTGTTCTGGTTGTTTTGTGTAGTGGTTCTATTCTAATTTAAGGGGGAGGGTGTGTGTGCTGCTAACTGATGTTCATTTTCTGCAGTGTTATGGATGTTGGGTTAAGTGTATCAACATGTCATTCATGTGTAAGTTATTTTTACTGATTTTATATATATAGCATTTTTCCAATGAGTTTTAAGTATGTTCCTTTTTTATGTCTTCTTATAATGTTCCTTGTATCTCTTATGGTTTCAGAATCAGTTTCTAAGTTGTAATGATTTTAATAAACTCAGACAGTGAACAGTAAAGTAAAAAGTAATACTGATAAACAGTTTTACATACATATTGAGTGACAGGGACATACTGTAACTGATTTATTTTGTCACTAGCTTCCTACCATGGGCTTTGGACCCAGGTCAGGTCAGGTCATGTGGGATTTGTGGTGTTCAGAGTTGTAAGAGGGTGGGTATTCTCCTAGTACTTCAGTTTCCTCTGTCAATTTCATTCCAGCAACTTCTCCACATTCATTAATCCTATCATGAGGTCTTTATAGTCTTGATACTGACAGTCTTGTTAAATAAGAGACTTAAGTATTGAACTCATATGTAATATACATGTTTTTCAGTTGGCAAAATATTCTTAGGATGATAGTTTATTAACACTTTGAGGACCAGCTGGATGGTTGCTTTGCTTTTAGACTTGATATGTCTTATTTAGCAAATATTTAATACTATTTTCGTTCACATGTGCAATCATTTATTTTCTATTGTGATTACTAAAACATAATCACATTAAAAGTTGGCATTGTTTGTTCAGCTTTATCAGACTTCTTGTCAGTAATATATTTTAATGTGTTCTTGCAGCATGCGTTAGTAGAAACAGAAGCTGAGAACATCAGAGTGACCGTCATAAATGCTGTCCAGCATATGAGAAAATTTATGGAAGAAATAAGTGAAACTATGCGCAAATTGGGTATGCTTATAATATAATTTATTCATAAACATGAGTGAAAGAAAAGGCAGGGTAGAAATGAAATGTATTACATTTGTGGTAGACTGCATGCAGACTTCTAACAGTGAAAAACTTGATTGCGCTTTAATATATACTTTAATATGGAGGGTTCTCATCATTCTTGCTGCAGCCTCTATAACACAGTTCTTGTCCACTGTGGATGGATGTATTCTTCCTCTCCATTTCAGCCTTTGCAGTGTAGCATTTTGACGCATCTAATTTATTAACCACTTGAACAAAACTCGTAACAGATAAAAGTATGTGTAAGTTCAGTCAATTGATTTAACTGTTTATGTAATACCTAGTACAGAAACTTCTGTTATCCACTGCAATAAAAGTTAGAGCCAGTGCAGATAATCCAAGCAGAAGAAAATCTGAAAATGTTATATGATTTTCTTTGGAGTTCTCGTGACAACGTTACCATAATACTCAGGTCCCCATGTTGGCACAGGCTGCTATGAGAATGGAATATGAAACCTGTCTCAAGTTAAAATTAGTTACATTTATTAGGTCATCCAGCTGTGCTGCTGCTTGGGAATTTGTTCTAATGAAGGAATTCTTAGTTCAGGAATATTTTATAGTCATCTTACATGGCAAATACGCTCAAAACTTAAATGTGTAATTGAAAAGTTGTGAGTCATCTTATGCACTCATATATATGGTAATTTCTCATACTCTTCAGTTTCTTTCACTGACAGCTTGACAACTGTCAAGTGGTTGAGTGATTTGGCCCTTAGGTATAAAATAAACTACTTAGGTATAAAATAAAAATAAACATTGTTTAAATTTCTGTATGTTCACTATTTTGATGTCACCAGCAGACATTCCTTCCCCCCACCCCATGTATATTTTGTAATCTTCACCTCTCTTGATATGCAGCCACACATTATTTTGAAGGATCTCAAATGCTGCAAATGGGTGAAACCTTTGAAATAAACAATTCTCATCTCTAACCACAGTTTCTGCAGATAATGTGTCAGTGGATTCAGTCTTATACATTAAATCACAATTTCAATGAATGTGCACACTGTCAAGAATGGAAGTTTGTTTTTGGTAAAGGCCAAGAGTGGAGTGCCAACTGAAGTATAAAGAACCTCTCATTGTTGCCATACAGTCTTAACCATAACTAATAACAACTCTTCACTGCTGCATAGGGACAGAATAACAACATAAACGCAAGTCTTGTGTGTGTGTGTGTGTGTTTTTTTTTTGTGTTTGTCTGGGGCACATGAAATTAGCACTTCATTTAAGACCTTAAAATAAAATGACCATTCTAGTTACCAAATATGGCTAAAAGTATCAGTTTTGCCTCAATTTTTAATACCTAATTATAGTCTTAGACTGTCAAACTCTTTTCTCAAAGATAATTTTTCCTGCATGCATACAAAGAAATTAATAGACATAGTTCTGTTTGTATTTGTGAAATATGTACTCTTTTATTAGTTTAGAACTTCTCTTACTAATGCACAGAACAAGTAGTTCAGCGCTTGGAAGGTACAGGAGGAGAGGGAGGAACAGCTGATATAGCTCGTGCACTTGTTCAGACGTACTTCCATCAACTGCTTGAAACACTACAGCTGCAGGAGGCTGCTGCCATGACTGCAGTGGACAGATATGTAAGGGAAAGACTGTGCTCATTGCGGCAACTTCAGGAAGATTTAGCAACATCACTTTCACAGGTTTGAATATTATAAAACTGATTATCATACAGTGCAGCAGATTTTTAATTTTTTTATCAACAACACGTACAGAATAAGCTATTTCTTATTAAGTTGGGTATGCTCATCACAAAAATGACAGTAAAAAATGTGTACAATAACACAGCTTTTATAATTGTCTATTATTTTTATGTGCAACACATATTGACATATGGACCACTTATTATGCAATTTGAAGTAATTATTTTACTTAAATGAGAATGAACTTTTATGCACCAACAGAATATCATTTGCTCAGATTATGCTTGACTGAAATTGTAAGAACGCTAAAAAGGAAATTGCAAAAGTGAAAAGAACTGGTGTTATGGCTAAAAGTTTTAAGTACATAAAACTGTTATGTGATGGAGAATTTTAATGTTCATATTTGGAAGTGGCATAAGCTGAAAATTTAGTTTTCTTTTATATTACCATAACGTTGTTGATTAATGTTATTGCTTTTTGTTCAATTTTCTTCTTAAAATACACATAGTTATTATTAAAGAACTTGTGATGTATATAAATTTTGTTGTTTGCTTGGCATGCTCTTTGACTGTAAAAATATAGGAAGTATGTTCCTCTGAAACTTTGGTAAACTTCTAGCAGACTACTTGGCATCATATCTCAGAAGAGAGCACTCTTCTGCTCCTTGGAATGTTCAGAAGAATTTCAGGTGCAATGTTTGCATCTTATAAGTCAACATCATCAATGAATACAATTTTGTGATGTACTGTTTCTGATTGTGTGTGATCTTCTGGGTTCTGACATTGTGTAGTCTTGTAGGTGGATACTGCGGCTTTGGAAGAAGATGCTGCCTTCATAAGGCTGTGTGGTGTCATAACTAGGGACCATATTTTAATGCAAATGCGTATTTCTTTCTTCTAACCAAAAATGATTCTCATTTGGATATATGTATGAATTACTTCATTTTTTTAATTTTAGACATGGTTTGATGGTGTATATAAATGCATATTTTGCCTGTTTTATGAATACTCATAATATTTTCTTAGATCTCTATTTATGCTGCATATTTTCTTTTTAAAATGTTTATCATTATATATATATACTTTAATTTTATGTTCAAATTTTCAATCATTGTCATGTGTATACAATTTTTCTTTTCTGTATTAGGATATGCTGCATATTTGCCTCGCAAAATTTTGTCATACAAATACCAAGTTGAGTCTAGATTCATGTTTCTGATGCACTACCCAGGACAGGACTTCCTTGAACCCTCTACTCGTAACTTGCCTCATCTGCATACAATCAAAGTGGCTGAGAAGGGATTAGTCAGAAGCATATTCACATTTAGCTGCTAGCAACTTAATACTATTCAACTGATAATGGACTTCATTTATTTATTTCCAAAGTCTGCTTCAGGTTCGCTATGCTTCTTCATTTGGAGCTGGGGATCATTCATATTAGTGGTGACTAGTCTGTGGTTAAGTTTGTTTAGCTTTTTGTAGTCGTGCCGAAAGTGAAAGTAAGTCAGGAAATTAAATTACAGCTGTATCAGCGAGAGTTTGAAGGAGAGATGATAACTATGGGTAACAAAATCCTGTATTATTGAGTGTGTATAAAAACAATTGGTTGTGAAAAACGCTTTCAAGTGCTTCTGCATTTGAACACTAATATACACAAAGAGAATATTAAAATTAAATCCATGAAAAGTGCTTCTGTTCAAAAATTGCATAGTGAATTTTCTAATAATAGTTTTTCAGTTCTCCTTTCACTTGTATGAAACCTTTTTAGCAGCAGATATTCTGCTAACCAGTCCTAGTCTGAGAAACTTCATAGAGAAGTATACACAGTGCAAAGTGCCAGATGAATCTACTATGTCCAAAAATTAAGTGAAGCAGTGTTACAATCTTACAACTGAAAATATTAGAGATAAGATTCAAGATAATTTTATGTGGGTATCAACGAAACACGAGACTGTGAGGGACGGTTTATCGCAAATGTTATAGTTGGATCCATTAATAAGAATGAACAGTCTACCCCTTATATTCTTGCAGTAGAGGAATTTGAAACCATCAATAGCTTCGCAGTTTCTGAATCTTTTATCAATTCCATGAATTTACTATGGCCGAATGGCATTCAGTATGAGTGTGTATTGCTCTTTGTGGCTGATGCCGTAAGTTATATGATCAAAGATGGTACTGCTCTTAAAGTTATATTTCCAAATATAACACATTTGACTTGCCTTGCCCAGGGGTTGCACTGTATTGCAGAAACAGTTCATGCAAATTTTCCACTTGTTGACAAGTTGGTGTCTTCTGTGCAGAAGGTATGTGTTGTTTAAAGAAATAGCACTGAATGTTCCACATCAAGCAGAACCCATTTTAACGCACTGGGGAATGTGGCTGTGTGGAGTGAGTTATTGTACTGAACATTTAGAAACAGTTAGGAATGTTGTGAATACTTTTGATCCCAGAAGTGCAGCATCAGTTCAGATTGTCCAAGATGTACAAAAAATGCAGACATGAAACTAATCTTTCCTGTATATCTGCTCACTTCTCTCATCTTCCATCTGTTATTTCTTCACAGGAGGTAAGCAGTAGCAATACTACTTTGTATCAGCTCTTTAGTGTTTCGAAATTGAAGTAAGTCCCTGGAAGGTAGCATTCTTTGGTGACGGTAAGAGCATTACCTTCCTCATCCTTAATGAAATAGGGGCCTAATGGCAGACCATATTGTCACACGTACTATGTAGCAGTTTCTGGACAATAACATCTGGCCGCTCAAAACCAAGGAAGCGAGTTGTCTGGCAACCACTTGCATATGAGCGGAAATAAAACTCAACTATGAATACGTTTCCCTCCGTCGAGAGACCCATTTCCAACAACAACTGCACAACACAACTTCCTTTTCACTACTGGGAACACATGCGGCTGGAGCTATGCACCATCGACAAACGCACATGCACATTTGAGATGTGCTAGTTTCAGTACTGCATTTTTGGCACATACTGTATATCTGGTAAAAATAGTTGAACTAATAGTGGCTTATGTACATGCACCCTTAAGTTCCTGTGAGGTGGAAAGATGTTTTTCTTGCTATAAGGGCATCTTACAAGACAATAGGAGGTGACTGACTATGGAAAGCCTAAAACATTTAGTAATTGTGAACTGCAGCAGAAGAGAAGGTAAAAACTTGGAGAGCTGAATGAGAGTACCATTGGTTCCTTGACTTGTAATGAAAAAATGCTGACTTTGTTGCATGATTTGTTTTTAAGTACAGCTTTTCACTGCAAGTGAACCATTTAGTGATTACATAAAATTAACTTAAATGTAGATTTGTTGGTCATAAAATAATGTAAAATCAATTTTAATATTTGGTATGAACTTTTTATGTGCATATTTTATATGCATATTTTGGAAGTTTGCGTGCATAAATGCATACATATTGTAGGGATTATTAGGGCATAAGACTCTGGTCCCTAGTCATAACAAAAAAGGCCATAATGTGAATGTGGTACAGTTCATTGAGTTGCAGCAAAAATATGTGAAGTAAAATTTGAATTAATCCATATACAGATGATGACTGATACTGTACTTTAATAAATTCTCATTATTGTTGGTGTGTTTAGGTGGCTGGTGTTTGTGTTCAATGTGAACAAACTATACAGCAAGATGATACTCGAGTCTTGGCAGCTGCTAGAGAAATCAAGGAGGCTTTGAGCTCAGTTGAGAAACAGCAGCAACAATATTCTGAGCTGAGCCCAGAACAGCTGCAATCTGACCCCAGCATACCTATTACATTCACAAAGGTATGAATGTAGATTTGTGTGACTTCAAACAGCACAGTGAATCGACCCCAATTAATCAGACATAGGGTCGGGTGATGGGATTGAAATATTTAAAATAAATAATATTGTCACATTTATAAGTGACAATGGAGGGGTTTGGGATTGATGACCTGATTTATTGGACTCTTTGATACACAACTTGTGACTACACTTTACAGTTCGCTGTTACACACACGCATTAGTGTCCACAGTCCAACGGTGGACATTCCACTTACTCTGGATTTTTGAATGGTCCCCAGCCTCAGCTACCAGCTTCTCACAACCACAGCCCACAACAGCTAAATTGCAGCAGTCTTCTAACTGTATAACTCACCAACCAACTCTTCACTAACTCCACTGATTGACTAACTCAGTCACTCACCAACTGACCGACTCCACTTCACTAACACCTCATTATACCAGCTTCTCACAGCTACAGCCCACAACAGCTAAATTGCAGCAGTCTTCTAACTGTATAACTCACCAACCAACTCTTCACTAACTCCACTGACTGACTAACTCAGTCGCTTACCAACTGACTGATGCCACTTCACAAACTAAAGCCTCATTAACTGTCTGGGTTTATAACATTTCAGTATTGACTGCACAAAAAACACCGTTTCACGGTATTATTTTATCATTTTGTTGCCTTGCAGTTATTCCAGTTTCTGAACATTGTCATATATTACAGGATAATCGTGTACACATTGGACCAAAAATTGAAATGCGTGTTGTTACATTGGGTTTGGATGGTGCTGGGAAGACTTCAGTTCTGTTCAAATTAAAACAGAATGAGTTCATGACTATGCTTCCAACCATTGGTTTCAATGTGGAGACAGTGGAATACAAGAACCTGAAGTTCACAATCTGGGATGTTGGAGGACAACATAAACTGCGTCCTCTGTGGAAACATTATTATCTCAACACTCAGGTAAGAACCTCATATTATTGCCCTTTATGCAGTAGTAAAGTTAGTACCCAGTATATACTAATATATTCATTCTTAATTTATATAATGATGCCATTACAATGAAATCCCAAATTAATATTCTTGGATTTAGTGAAATCCCATATTTGGTGATTATTTTATTCTGGTTTTAGCCAAAGCCCAATTTAATCAATGTGGTGCAAGAAATTTTCTGTCTTCCAGAGCTTGTACCTTGATTTAGTACTGTTTTTGTTGAAACAGTCAATATGTAAATTTTCTGTGTGTAAAATTTAAAGTTTTCCCTGTACTTATCTATTTAAGCACTATGCCATGAAGGTGTATGGGGAAAAGGATATATAGGTCCATATTTTCTTGACCTTGGCACTAGTTGGAAGTGAGTGGTCAGCTTCATGCCCCGGCTGCTTTACCCCCAGGGAAAGAGCCCCCAGTACCAATTGGATAGGAGGCTGGATGGGTCCCAGAGTCAGTCTGGATGACGTGGAGAAGAGAAAATTCTTGATCCTACCAGGACTCAAACTCTGACCCCTCGGTTATCCAGCCCGTAGCCAGTAGCTGTACCGACTGTGCTATCCTTGCTCCCGTGTGTTGAGAATGATTATGTCATAACCTTAATACTTGGTGACTGATGTAAAGTAAAAAAGTAAAAGTATCCCTGTAACAGGCCTTGGAGGCCCATAGGGTTGTGAGACGTTGAGGTTCCCACATTTTCTAGACAATCGGCTCATAGATGGTGGCAAGGTTGTCAGCCCTACGTGCCGGCTGTCCTTTACCCCCAAGAATATTCCTGGTACTCATTTCTGTTAAGAGGCTGGTGACTGATGTCACATATTAAACAAGCACTGAAGCCATACCTCTTGTGACATTAGAGTTGCTTTGATTCTTGATTGAGGTTATTTCAGTTTTCATTTCACGTGTTATTAATTATTTTAGAAATTAATTTGATATTATTTACTATGTAACTGTATTTATTTATACAGAAACAGTTCCTTTTTTATAGTGTTGTTTTCATACTTGCTGTACCCAGTGTAACATACACCATTATAGCAGTTCTTAAATATAAATGTGTTTTGCATATTCATATCCAACAATACCTCGCATAGTCCGGCTAATCGGTTCTGCCAATATCCCGGACTGTTTGAAACAAGACTATTTGAGGAACTAAATACATACAAAAAATGATAATTGGTTAAAAAAATCCCATTTTTCAATAAATAAAACACAATTAATAAATTCAAATGTCTTTATTAGAAATAATTTTAAAAAATTCATGTTTCTTGCAATTCACTTTTTATTCTCTAAAAATTGCAATATTGATGTCTGCACATTTTTCTTCTTCTTGGCCTTTTCTCTTCATACATTACTTTGTAGCAACGAATTGCATCGTTTATCGTTCGGAGAATTGTACGGCTACATTCAGTATTGGGATCAACTCCCATAATATGCTCCGACAAGGTTTCAACCATTCCAATAATTGTTATAGTTGTTCAGCTGTTAATTCTCGTGCAGGCACTTCAACACAGTCATCGTTGTTTAAGTTGTCCTCCCGTTCTTCATAAGCCTGTTGTTCATCTGTGTTAATAATTGTTTCATTATCTAGTTCATTAGTGTTCGATTTGTTGCACTCAATTGTGTTGACGGAATCTAACTCATTGAAACCAAGTTGCTGTCCAGTTTCCACTATGTTATTAGTGACTTCAGCAAAGTGAGTTTCAAAGCCAACGAAATCATTTGCACAATGTGGTATGATATGTTTCCATACTGCCCTCATATTGCTTGCCGTTAATTCATGCCATGCTTCGCCTATATTTTCAATAATGTTTCTGATGTAGTTCCAAAATTCCGTTAAAGTAGTGCTCTCCCCACCTGCTCCAGCAATAGCTGTCAGAGCTCAAGAATGAATGACCCGAGCATAGGTACATACATATACAACGGGGAACCCCAGAAAAAAAATTGAAATATGTATCGTATTGCATAACTTTAAAACCACATAAAAATAAACTGCACGGAAGGAGACTTGACTATATAAAAGGAAAAAACGATCATTTATGTATTAAAAATAATTTTGTGTACTAATTTTTTAGAATTTATTTTTGCTTTGCTCAATTAAAATTTAGTTTGTTTTGAAATTTTCAAACCGTACTATAGTGAATCCGGACTGATTGAAGCCGGACTGTCTGAGGTATTGCTGTATTCTGTTTCATTTGATGCATTCATTTATATGACCCCACAAATGGGTCAATTTTTTGCAGAATCTTCTCCATTTATTGTATTCCTTCAGCCAAATACCCTTGGTTTTGTTGATTTTCAGTCTTCTTTGTTGTTGCTTCACCAGAATTGGAAGTACAAAGTTGTCCATATCCATGCTTATTTGCCTTGTTTGGATATAACAGTGGAACAAAATAGATCTGGTCATGTATCCATAAACAGTGTGAACCATTTCCAGGTGGAAATTTAGCCTCAACCACCCAGTGATGTCAACGCCATTGCCTAGTTGTAGTCTTATATATGTTCTCTGTAGTTATTTGCTTTGTGTGTATCCCCTGTAAGTACCTCTCATAATAAAGCCTTAAAATGGCTTCTCTATTGGTGTTCCCTTGAACTTGTTTCAGATTCAGAGGAGTAGAAACATACCTAAGCATTTTAGATATATAGACGCAATTAATTTTTTCAGAAATTTTGTGTGATATTGTTGTGCATATAATTGTATTTATTTGTGCACCTCATAAAAGATTAACAGTTCTTGATGTAATTTTGCATAATTCCCATTTAGTGCAGACCTTAATAAAGTGTAAGAAAATAAATTTTTATGGCGAATTTCACCTCGTAACAACATAGTGCTGAATAAGATGGGAAGAAGTCTGTTATAACCAGTGTCAAACTAACCTGTCTTTTGAAGAAAGTCATCTTCTGGGTTTTGGCGCCGTGTATTCTTCGTTTGTCAGCCAAAATGAAGAATACACTGCGCCAAAACCCAGAAGATGACTTTCTTCATAGTCATCGCCGTGAAAACCTCAAAACTTACATAACCTGTCTTTGTCTGGAGACAGAGAAGCCATATCCTCAGGATGACCAGTTGGCTGATTTTTCACTGAGTCGCCTCCATGTACAAGTCTACACCATTATTGCTGAATGTCTTTATGTAGTGTTTAGCACATTTTTCTTCATGTTTGGAATGTTGTTGGTTTGAATCCTGACAGAAATATTTTGTTAGACTCTGATCAGTGTATACAGTGAAACCTTAGTGATCTGAACCCACACTAATCCAAACTCACTCACAGTACCTCCCGCTCTCCAAAAGGATCAGCACTTTCAAAGATTATGAATTTAATCTAGTCATGTTCCTTCCTTTCAGTGAAAATGAATTCTTATGAAACATGGTGTTATGTGTTAGTGGACCTGTCTCTCTGGGTAGTGAAAATGTAACCTGGTTACTGTTTGCTCCAAACCTGGCTTATTATTATTATTATTATTATTATTATTATTATTATTATTATTATTATTATTATTATTATTATTATTATTATTATTATTATTATTATTATTATTATTATTATTATTATTATTATTATTATTATTATTATTATTATTATTATTATTATTATTATTATTATTATTATTATTATTATTATTATTATTATTATTATTATTATTATTATTATTATTATTATTATTATTATTATTATTATTATTATTATTATTATTATTATTATTATTATTATTATTATTATTATTATTATTATTATTATTATTATTATTATTATTATTATTATTATTATTATTATTATTATTATTATTATTATTATTATTATTATTATTATTATTATTATTATTATTATTATTATTATTATTATTATTATTATTATTATTATTATTATTATTATTATTATTATTATTATTATTATTATTATTATTATTATTATTATTATTATTATTATTATTATTATTATTATTATTATTATTATTATTATTATTATTATTATTATTATTATTATTATTATTATTATTATTATTATTATTATTATTATTATTATTATTATTATTATTATTATTATTATTATTATTATTATTATTATTATTANTTGTATCATTTATCGTGTAGAGTGCAACAGGATGCTTAAGTATAATATTGTAAAGTTTTGTGTGTTTTTCTTTGTCTATATTATCACCCAGTACATTCACATCATCAGCATTGACCAAAAGCTGATGTGTCCCCATTTAATTTCAGTCTCACCTGGTTTTCCTGCATCTTCTTAATGGAATATTCTAAAGCAAAGTTGAAAAGCAGTGGCAATAAAGCATGTTTGTTTTAGAACATTCTAGATAGGAAAACTATTAGACAAGTGTTTACCTATAAGGACTTTACTTTCATTTTGTTTAAACACGTTTTAATCAGCCTAACTAGTTTCATGGGTACCCCAAACTCTATCAGTATATTGTACAGTACTTCCCTCCTAACTGAGTCATAGGCAGTTAGGTAATTATATGCAATTAAAAGTGGAATGTCTTTTTAGAAAGATCCAGTAATTAACTCAAGGCCATTTTGTTATTTTGCATAACTAATTATTCCAGGCAGTTGTATTTGTGATTGACTCAAGTAACCATGATCGACTTGCTGAAGCTCACAGTGAACTAGCCAAACTTATGTCTGAGAAAGAACTGAAGGACGCATCTCTGCTGATTCTGGCAAACAAACAGGTATGTCCATAGAATTCTCAAGATATCTTAAGTAATTTTGTAGGCATGAGTTTACAAGTATACAGTGGGAAGATGGTAAAATTGAAATAGGTAGTCTGTGTTTTGCCAGAGTAGTTGAAAATGGCATTAATAAATGAAAGAGGTTCTTTTTTGTCCATTGCTACTTCTGTGAATAAAGTCTGTCTCTTTCTACCCTTTTCTTCCTATGATGAAAATGAACAGGGCTGTATAATTGATCTTAAAATACAGTGGTTTATGAACAGTTTTTATTGAAAAGGAATATAATATCAAAGAGGATTAGTAGAACACCTTATCCCTCCACCTTTGGTCAAAGAAATTTGATGAAATTTTGCTTGATTGTAGGGAATGTCTTTAGATATATATATCTTTACTCTTCTCTTTTTCAAGCCGGAAATTATTGTGAGTATATTTGCAGAATGTAGAAAATACATTTATTAACTCTTTGACTGGCGCGGGCGTGTTTTAACGCCCGGACGATGCCAGCCATTCCCTGGCGTTGGCGTGCTTTAACGCTTTGACAATGTCTTCCCTTCTTTGCTCTCTTGGCACACATCAACCAAAGACATATATGATAGTTTTTGTGCATGTTTGTAAAGAACCCTTGTAAACTTTGTGGGGGTCTATATTACTGTCAGAACCCTCTGAGAAGGAAAAGGTCAGAAAATATTTCACATTCATTCAGTTTCACCATGGCTTCTTGCAGCAAGTGTCTTCGTGTTCCTACAGACCAGTTGGAAAATGTTGTGAACGAGATTTGTTCTGATGATGATAGTGGCGACGAAATAATGATTCCTGAATTGGATGAAGTTGATAGTGACAATAATACAGTGATAGACAATGATCCACAAGACAGTAATCATGAACATTTACCTACCACGAGTGCGGTGCCTGACACGCCCATCTCATGAACGTACGGAGACATTGTACCCCCAATATTTCCATTTGCTAATAGTTTCGGGATCAAAATTGATATAACACATAAAATGCATCCCTTTTCATGGATTAAAATTTTTTCTGGATGACGACTTGGTAAATCACATCACAACTGAAACCAATCGCTATGCTCACCAGCACTTCAACACACATGAGTTAGCTCCTCACTCTCGAAAACACAATTACAATTATGTCACATCAGATGAAATCTGGACATACTTAGGAATTGTGTTCATGACAGGAATCGACAAACGCCCTGAAATTGAAGAATATTTGTCCACTAGGCCCCTATTTCACACCCATGGTATGGACAAAACATGTCTTTGCGGTTGAATAGTTTCATTCTATTCAAAAAGAACACAACAAACGAAAAATACAAGAAGAGAAATTACAGATTCAAAGATTTTATATTGGACTGTGTAGAAAAATGACTGAACCAAACAAACAGGTGGAGAGGGAGAGGAGTCAAGGAATGAAGTGGATGACGAATCTATTGCGTCAGACTCGAGTGCAGTCACGCCTCCGCCCTCGACCTTGAAAAGACCACCAGTGAAAGAGCCAGTAAATCGTCTAGAGGGTGGCTTGAAAATTCACAAAATGGTCCATGTTCCTCCCAGTAACAAGAAGAATGGTGCCCTGAGAAAGTGTCGCGTGAGTGCTAAGCACAAGATTAGAAAAGAAACAAGTATCATGTGTGCAGGCTGTGGTGTGGCTCTCTGCAAACTTTCATGTTTTAATGTTTATCGCACGAAGAAAAACTAATAAAGAGGTATGGAAAGGCATTTATTGCATAAAATATTGTATTTTAATTAGTTTCTGATAATTTCGTTTTTAAAAACCAATTTTTGTTGAAGTTGTTTAGGAAAAAGTAACTACATGCATTTTAGCGACATAAGGTTTAAAGGGCCTGCCAGGACAGGGGTGGGATTTAAATACCCTTCGCGCCAGTCAAAGAGTTAATTTTGTGAGACAGTCATATGAATATAATAATATTGGCTGAGTAGGTTCATAATGGTTTGATTGGACTAGCCATAGATGGTCTATTTGTATCTACCAAGGGCTTTTGTATCCTTAGCACTGAGTGCATAATGTGAAAGTCATGCATGTCCAGCTTGAGACATCATATTTCACTGTTACTACCAAGAATACTAGAAGTCCATGCCTTGAAAAAAAATATATATGGTTTCCTTCAGGAACCCTCACCAAAAAACTAGGATACTATTAGAGGTAAATAGGAACCATTTGAGACAACTGACAGGACTACTTATAGGCACTTGTCTCTTGAAAGGACACCTAATCAAATGGGACTAGCAAATGTGCCCACCTGTGAAAGGTACCATGACAGATGAAACAGGCTCACTCATCCTTAGTGTCAGAGGTTCAAGTTGGATTAAGATTTTGTCACTTGAGATATCATTCCATGAAGTAAAGTTACTATCAGAAAGAAACATACTGCCCTGCATTTGAAGTGTGGGACTGCAGAGAGGTTGATCATATACTCACAGTGCAGGGGCTATGTACAGCCCCTCCAATCTAATCGGACCCATGTTGTATTTGAGGTTCTCACAGTATTGGCTATGAAGGGTTCTGTCGTCTCATCATGGACTATAAGGTGTTACAGCTCAGAATCTGATCTACAGTTTACTGTTCATAGTTATTAATACTGCATATATGTTTTTAGGACATTCCGGGCTGTGCAACAATAGAGGAACTGACAGAACAGTTTGCTCTATATAAATTATGCTGTGGTAGAAGCTGGCATATCCAGGCTTGTGATGCCCAGAGTGGGACAGGTCTCCATGATGGATTGGACTGGTTGTCACGACAACTGGTGGCAGCAGGGGTGTATGACATCGTTTAATTAAAATTAGCAATTACTGATATGTTCTCTTACCTTCCTTCAGTTGAGGTTCAAATGCAGTGGTAGATGATACTGTCTTGTTACAGAAGGTGGGTTCATATGTTTTACTAACCCCATCTTGTTACACTTCTACCGGAAGGCATTGAAAGAACGCTCAGAGGCCACAGAAGATATTAGGACAGGTGATCTTATATGCATTTTGCCCAGAGAGAGAGATCTTCAGAGAGTAACCATTGACAAGTATTCATGTAGATTTACAGTAAATGAACATGGGCGGCATAAGTATGTTACACACTTGTATGTTAATTGTGGTTTAGCTAAGATACATGTATAGGTTATTTACATTAACCACATTTTAGAACAAGCTTATGGTACTGCTGTTTTTGATTATTTGGAGAAACTAATTTGGAGTTATACTAGGTGAATTTTCTGTTATGTAATAAATAAAACAAATGTGATATTGAGTTTGTAGCCATGGTGAAATTAAGAAGACAGGACTCTTGGCAATGAAAAAGTTTCTGAAATTCATATTAATTTAGAATCTTGTGCTGAAGAGGGGTCACAGTAAATTGGTATGTTCTAGAATGAATTATATTTAAACATGTAAAAAAGTGATAAAACCTCATTCCCTGAGACCTTAACAGATATTACGAATGTTACAAATGGAAGGTTTAGTATTTGGTGTCTATGTTTGTTAGTTAAACTCCAGCAGAAGAAACATGGATACAAAATGAGATTTAGTTATTGTAGTTTATTGAACTGAAATTTCTGAATTATTCTTGTATCAATTTTAAAGTATCTGCTGCTTCATATAGTAGCCAGTAAGAAAACAACTGGAAAAAAAAAACATGATATTTTGTTCCCAGAATGGAGATTGTCAGGATTTTGAACATTGGTTTCAGCAAAATTCAGAGGAAAGCTCTGACTGTACCAGTGTTATGTTACAATAAAGTGGGTTAGACATAGGATCGGTAACATACAGTAGACCCTTAACATAAAGCAGATGTCAGAGGGAAGCTTCATTAGCCATGCTATAAGTGAAATTGACATTTATTTAATTTTGGAATCCCTTTTATTAAATATACAGTATTTATGCAGTGACTAAAGTATATACATGGAATATAAGGTACATTTCAGGTTTGAGTTTCACCTGTGCTACGGGCACATATTGTTGTATGTTACTTGCATCTATGCCTCCTTGCTAAATATTCTAGTAATGTAGTTTGTTAGAATCAATGACTGTATTTTATCAGAACATACTTCTTTATACTGGCCAGACAGAGCAAATGAAGGTGTTCAATATTAGCCTGTTCTGATTATGTCGTCATTTCATCAATATCTGTTTGGCACTTTACTGAGGTTCGGTGCCAGTATTTCACAGGAATCATCACTGTTGTTTTCTGAGTCACTTCCAGTATCACCGACTCTAAGTTCACCTTTTTATCTTCCCATTCTTTACAAAAGATGCTGTGTCCTTATCACTAAGATGCTGCACGTTGGGAGTTTGTGCGTCTACCCCAATCCAAGCCACCAGGTCATCTCCTCAGTTACTACTGAGTACATCACATGCAGCCTTCACATCTTGTTTTGGAAATGGAATTACACTTATCTTATGTGACAGTATCTTTCCAGCACAAGACATAGCTTTCCTCCGAGCTAAACCAGTGCTGTCTGCAACAGACTTTAGTGTTAATATCCCTAGAAATTCAGTATTTGGAGTTCAGAATTTACATCACCATGTAGCTTACCATGAAAGTAGGCTTTGAAGGCTTAAATAGTGCCTTGGTCCATTGACTTAATCAATTTGATGATATTCTTTGGTGGAAATATAGCTCTGATTTTTCCATCTTTCAGTTTCAGGACATCAGCAGAAGGATGGGATGGTCATTAATACTGCAGTAGTAAAGCCTCTTCTTCAAGGTCTTTGGAATGCAAATGGCATTTTGCTGATGGCACAGATTCACTTTAAAACGAGGCATTAAAAAATAGTAAAGCCTGTTCTTCAAGGTCTTTGGAACGCAAATGGCATTTTGCTGATGACACAGATTCACTTTAAACTGAGGCGTCAAAAATATCACATGCTATCCAGGCACTGTAATTCTTTTTGTAGGTCACAGATTTCATGTCTACATGTTTGAAACATGACTTCTGACATTTTCTGATCCAGAATGGTTTTAGCTTGTGATTAGCACTCTTGCTGGAACACAGGAGTGAGGTCATTCTTTCTTTGTTAGTTTCTTTACCTACTTCCCCATATTTGAATGCGATGCTTATTACAAACAAAATTTTTCAGTAATTTGTGTAAGTGTAGCTACCATAGGTAACATCAACGTACGATGGGGTACCCAAAAGAAACCGAACTAATTTTTTTGTGGGCAGAGCTTTTCGTAGTACTGTGTTTTGCAGCTATGAGCACATAGAGCTAACATTCCTGAGTCGATAAGCCGACTACCGTTGCTTCAGAAGGTAAGGACTAGTTTTGGCAGAGTTTATAGTGACAACTGTTTTGTGTGATCATCATTTTTGCAATGGCTGATTTTCGTGAACAGCGTGCGGCAGTGAAATTCTGCTTTTTGCTCGGGAAAAGTGGAACAGAAACTCTTGAAATGTTAAAAACGGCATACAAGGACGATGCTGTGGGGGAAACTCAAGTGTTTGAGTGGTTTTCCCGTTTCAAAAATGGTGAAATGTCAATTGATGACAAACCTCGTTCTGGTCATCCTTCCACGGCCCGAACACATGAAAATGTTGAGAAAATTCGTGAAATCATCAAGGAAGATTGACGACGGACCATTGAAGAAATTGTGGAGCTGTCGGGAGTGACTTGGAGCTCAGTTCAGCGAATTTTGACAGAAGATTTGGGAATGAAAAGGGTGGCTGCGAAATTCGTGCCACGACTGCTGACTAAAAACAAGGTCACATGGAAGCATGCTGTGCTTTGAAAGAAGAGTCCCGAGTCCTCGAATGAAAAGAGACATGAAAGGAAAGCGTTTTGCTGATGTTGCTGAGGTGAAGGAAAAAATGACGGAGGCAGTCAAGCATCTCAAAAGATGAATTTAGACAATGTTTTGAAAAATGGAATAAAAGACTAGACAAGTGTATTAGTGTAAGTGGAGAGTACTTTGAAGGGGATTGAAGGTTTGTGCTTAAAATTTGAATAAATAAGTTTAAAAAAAAATAAGTTCGATTTCTTTTGGGTACCCCCTCGTATATTGCAAGTGACATCATGCTTGTTAGCTGCGTATTAGATGATCTTGTTATGCAGGCGTACATATCTGTCTGATTACAGTTTTCACACTGTTAAGCTTCAAACATTGTGTGCTGAATTATTTCCTCCCCTTCACAGATTAACTGCTTGTCTTGCTAAACCTTTTCTGTTGAAGGTTATTGATTTTTGTAAATATATTTTCTTCATAAGTCTTTAAGAAAAGGTGGGAGGATACGGCACAGATTTATCTGATGTAGGATTGGGACCAACAGTGGGCTCTTGTGAGCAATGTACTGAACCTTCAGGTTCCATAAAGGGCAGACAATTTCTTGGGTAGATAAGTGTGTATTAGCTTGGAATTTGTTAGATAGTTAATTTTGTTTAATTTATTGCAGGAAGGAGATTGTATGATATGAAACTCCATTATGTATGGACAACATGTATCTGTGATTCAGATGCTAATGAAACAGCTAAGAAATTAAGAAAACTAATAAAATTAATTTTATCAATAATGAAGTTCAGCTGTTACTTTTCCATGCTCAACTTAATGCTGTATAGCAGAATTTGAATGAGAAGTGAAACCATACAGACTGACAGTTCTCACATTTCCTGTTCCTGTTATACACTTCCAAGGGTTGAATAAATACCTCTCCCAAAAAAAGGAAACTTGAAAACTGCACAGCTTAATTTTTTAATGCTCTTATGATAAAAATTGACAATGTTCATTATATCTGTCACGTGTATATGTTAATCTCAGTCAATCCAAAATAAAACTAAAACTGAACTAAACTGTGTGGCTTTTAGTCCACAAGTAAACTATACTGACTGAGCAACTGCCGCTTGTTGGTGAAGGTAGTGCCAACTTTTGCAGATAGAGGGTGTCGGCTAGTCAGCGCAATGGATTCCCATGGCCATTAATCTCAGTTTTCTAGACTGGAGCTGCTACTTTTCAATTCAAGTAGCTCCTCAATTATCCTCATCAAGCTGAGTGGACCACGTTCCAGACCCACTACTTCTCAGAAAATCTGGAAGCGCCAGGAATCGAACCCGGGACGTCTGGCTGTGTAGCCAGGAACTCTGACCACTAGACCACAGAGGCAACTTCAAAATAAAAATAACTCCCACAAATAACAATCTTCAGTGAGGATACTTAAGGTACCCCTGACAAGCTGCATTCATACCCATACGGATACCAGTACAACAGTTTGAAAAATGCCTATGTGGACAATCTTTGTACATTGTTTTTATATTTGGGGGAGCAGCAACAATGGCAGTGTCTTTAAACTAGAGCTGTCAACAGATTAATATTTTTAATCCACCATTTTCATTTAATGGTTAATAGAAACTGACCTTGCCGATAAATGTACCAAGAGAGTACTGTCTTCTGGGGTACACCGGTAGATGGCCTCCAATGTTTTGAAGTTCATTCTTCCAAAATGTCAGTGGTCTTGTCAGGGGCCATTTGGCATTATATCCCAGAAGACAGTCATCTTCACAATCACCACTGTGAGAAACTTAAATCTCAAAAGTACGTATATATATAATTTATTAGTAAATTAATAATAAAAATATTGCCTAAAGTCAGAACTTAGAAAATGTGAATTCACCGTGCATATAAATTTTGAAACAAGGAGGCAACATATATGGAACTATAATTTTGCCTGTGGTTCTGTATGGGAGTGAAACTTGATCTGTGACATTAAGGGAGGGACATAGACTGAGGGTGTTTGTGAACAGGGTGTTGAGAAAAATATTTGGATCGAAGAGAGATGACGTGACAGGAGGTTGGAGAAAACTGCATAATGAGTTATGAAACTTGTACTCTTCTCCAAGTATAATTAGAGTGATCAAGTGAAGGAGGAGGAGGTGGGCAGGACATGTAGCCAGAGACGAGGAATGCATATAGGATATTGGTGGGAAAGCCAGAAGGAAAGAGACCACAGGGAAGACCAAGGAGTAGGTGGGTGGACAATATTAGAATGGATCTTAGAGAGATGGGATGGAATGGTATGGATTGGATTGTTCTGGCTCAGGATAGAGACCAGTGTAGGGCTCTCGTGAACATGGTAATGAACCTTCGGGTTCAATAAAATGCTGGGAAGTTCTTGAGTAGCTGCACAACTGGCGGCTTCTCGAGAAGGGCTCAGCTCCATGAAGTTAGTCTGACCAGAACCCTGCAATTTAAGTTAAAAAAATAATTTTATAAGGGAAAAATAAACTCTCACAGTAACTAAGGGTCAGCAAGAAAGATTCTGTTGTTACAGTCATTAAGTGATTCTGATTATATGACAGACATATCAAAGACATAAAAATAACATTATTGGCAATTGTGAAATGATACCCCAAGCACTGATTGGTGCATGAAACGTTCAACTGAATGTGACGTGCACTTAACACTTAACACTCTTGCCTTGGTGCAGCTGTAGAAATGAAAATATATGTGCTAGGGACCCCAAAACTTGTGTTGCAATCAAAATTTCTTTTATCAAGAGTTGTTTTGCTATACTGTGTAGAGGGTGTAATGATTTATAAAGGGCTTATTAATGACCTCCAAATATCACTGGAGCCTATTCGATTTTTTCTTGTATTTTGGCTGTATTAGGTTTAAGGTCATGCATTTAAATTGACTGATGAAAGTAATCAGCAATTATGAAATTAAAGAATTATTTATGGCAGTATTTCCTTTGTATTCAAGTACTGTTATGCAGCTGTAATTGGAAAGCACTAAATGGAGACATATTTCATATGTAGTTCTAAAAAAAAATTTATGGTGTCCACAGAACATTCTTACCCCATGTATCTTGCATGCTTTATATTTACGTCTAACATTTAGCATTAGTTTGCACAGTAAGCGACACAAAATGATTTTGGATTCTGCATTGGACTCTTCAGTTTATTAAAATGCAGTAACATGCTCTCTTTTTAAACAGTACACTGATTTGGATGTTGCGATTTAATGGAAATGGCTTGAAGAGATGTGATACCCAAATTGTGGTGATGGGGGCAGAGAATGCATGGGTTATTCATGAAGGTTAACAGACTAAAATAATGAAGTCAAAACTTGAATCTAACCTGCGTTTTAGTAGCAGGAAAATAGGAAGTTTATAGGATGAGGCTTCACACATGTATTCTGTTCCTGTGTCCCAGAATAAATGTATAATAAGGAAATGTGTAAATGAATAGTAAATGCTTGAATCAATTTGAAGACTGCCAGTAGTAGTTAAAATTAAAGTGTTACTTCTTGGAGGTTTAAATTTTGTTGTACTGTTGTATTTGGCATTGTCCTGGTAACAAAAAAAATAATTTGCAAGCGAACTATACCCATTGAGTGACCGCTGCTTTTCGGCGAAGTTTAGTGCCACAGCTGTATATATTTTTTGTTTCATAAGGTGTTGATGGTTGATAGATGAAGACTGAATATGAACAAAATGCAGTGAAACAACTTACATCAAATAATATACTTTGTGATGGCTGTGCAATGCCAAAACACACTGGGAACAAATAAGTGCATCTAACATGACAGTAAATAACAATCATACAACCACCAATTTTAAATGGAAGTTGCAAAAAGACAATAATAAAATTAACTAATCATTGCAACAGGATACCAAAATATACAGAACTAATACTGTCAGTGTAGAAAATCTTACACTTCTTGCAAGTTTTCCCACCATTTCATCAGTTCTTTCTAAACCGTCCCCACCTCCATTTGGTGTCTAGTGCATTAGATATTTATTTTCCAGTCTCTGCACAATGTTGCCACTCATTCTGTATTTCATTTTGCATTAGGCTGCATCTAGGTTGTGTGCAATTAAAACTTGAGTAATTATTTTATGATTGGTAGGATCAATCAGGCTACATAATGATATCCAAGAAAGATGAAAAGTGCACAGTGTCTTTTAATCTGTCCATGGAACAATGTCAGGAAAAATAAGATTACAGAGGGGTAGAGGAAATTTAAATTTTTTTAAACATGTACTGAACTGTTTGACTTCTGTTCTGCAGATATTTTTGGAAATTCCAGCCAAGATCAACAGTTTGATAGAATTTTTTAATGGGGAATGCCAGCCCAGTATTTCAGAATATATGACAAGTTTCTACACCATTCCTTCTGGTTCATCATGCATATAACCATCACATACTGTTAAAAATAATGTAGAACTTGCAACTGCTTTTCAGATGGCACAAATTACAAGCATTACATGCCATACAGGAACTGGTTTGTTAATAATTTGTCAGAACTTGTAACACTGCATTTTAATAATCTATCAGTCCACTGCAGAAGCAAGTTGAATGCTTTAATGACATGATCAATACCATGCACACATTTTTAGAACAGTTTATTGTATTGGTGTTGTGATCATTTTGACCGTGTATCTAGTGGTTTGTATTAAATAAAATATGTTAAGAATAAAATCTTGTATATTGCTAGAGTAACCTTTAATGACTAAAAGTGACAGCCTATCATAGAAGTCCAATTATTCTGACAAATGACTGCTACTGCTACATGTAATATTGATGTTCTGACTACTGTTTTGTTTTGACAGCAATCATATAAATCTAACAGACTGGCCAGTATAATCAGAATTTCTCTTAACAAAATGTGGAATGATATATAATGCAAGACTCTTGCTGAAGTACATGTATTTGTATCTGAGCCTTCTCAAACAGTATTGATGTCCATTTTTTTTTAAACAACAAACATGTTTTAAGATATTAGTGTATTCTTTTAACTTTCATATTCATTTTAGATATATTAAGTCCCAACATATTAAATGTGTGCTTTACTTTTGCAATTATGAAACACTGGCCATCAGTGGCCCTTCTGAAAATTGTAAGTCAATTATATTGCAAGTTCCCCTTCCCTTATTAAACTTTCTTGGTCAGATTTAAATCTCCTTTTACTATGAGACTGGTGACTGAACTTAAAGTTGGTGGTTATGGGATTTTCTTATCACATTGGCAGCCATGTGGTCTAAGTCAGTCTTTGTCCATTCAGACACTGGAATCAGTGGGTTCGAATCCCACTCAAGGTATGGATGTCTGTGTTTTGTTGTTGTGTGTGTAGGTAATAAACTTATGATGTGCTGATCCCCCATGCAGGGAGCCCTACTGACTGTATCTAGATTAAGAAGGTGAAAAAAAAGGCGGCAAACGCCCACAAGAGGTGTAGATCCATAGATAGAGGTAAAGAGGTTAAGCTGTCCCTGTAACAGGCCATGAAAGCCCATTGGGTTGCGAGACATCAAGGCTCCCACATTTTCTCTAGACAGTTGGCTCACAGATGGCGGTAAGGAGGGGCAATATGCTACAAGCAGGAAGGTCGCAGGTTAAAGTCCTGATGAGGTGGATTTTTTTTTCAGTTTACTTAATCCTTCCAGCCATACTATGACCCTGGGGGTCAACTCAGCCTCTAACAGAAATGAGTACCAGGAATCATCCTGGGGAGTAAAAGGTGGCTGGTGCATAAGGCTGACAACCTCACTGCGATCTGTGAGCCGAATGTCTAGAAAAAATGTGGGAATCTCGACATCTCACAACCCTATGGGCCTTCACAGCCTGTTACAGGGATAGCTTTTTCTTTGAAGTGGCAGTAAGGTTTTCAGCCTTATGTGCTGGCCATCATTTATGGCCCAGGAAGATTCCTAGTACTTATTTCTGTTAGACGCTGAGTCAACCCCAGGGCCATAGTGCTGCTAGAAGGAGTAGGTCAATTGAAAAATCCACCTCATCAGGACTTGAACCTTTACCTTCCAGCTTGTAGCATAGTGCCTCAACCAACTACTGCTACCAAGCAGTGTGCAAATTAATTGAGACAAGGATTTATTGAAGTAAAATTCAAGTTCTGTTGGTTGCAGATAGTCAAAACTGGGTTGTTTACTTCAGGTTCCTGTGAAAGTGTGACCTTGACTAATAGGAATGGGTTCTCATGGGAAAGGTTGCCACTTCATCAGTTGACAGCTTGTGTCTTTCACAAGTGTGTTCTGATTTTGAACCCTGGGATAATTTTGTTTTTGCGTGTGTGAAAATGGACATTACTCCAAAGAAATGGGCAAAAATTATTTCTCTTAATGAACACACGTCAATGACTGTCAAGCATTTCCTCTGTTGTTGGTGCGGGAAAATGAGTGTGTCAAGAAATTGTTGTGCATACAAGCATTCTGGATCACTTTCTCCACACAGAAAAGGAAAATGCGGAAGAAAACGAAAACCACTCCTCGTACTGAACAGCTTCTATTGAAAAACAGTAGGTTACATCCAACAATGAAAAATTAGGACCTTCAGAGATTTATTGCTTTCAGGGATTGACACTGATGCTTCAAGTGTATGGTGTAGGCTTCTTGAAGTTGGGTGGAAGGCAAGAAATCCAATCAAAGCAATTGTTTTGACACATACTATGAAGCAGAAACTGTTGGCATGGGCAAATAAGTATAGATTGTGAACAACTGATGACTAGTAGAAGGTGGCTTTTGGTGATGAATCACATTTTTTGTTTAAGGTTACAGAGCAAGTGTTGTCACACAAAGCAGTGATGAACCAGTGAGAGCAGAGCATCTTCAGCAGGCTGTAAACTGGTTGAGTAGTGTTGTGCCCCAGGTTATTAACGGGTATGCTTTGTCTTAACAAGGGGTCAAATTTATGTTTTATTAATTAGAAAATAATTATAAGTTTTATAAATTTAAATACGTTGGGTGAACCACAAGTTGGAAACCCGCCGGAAGCCAGAGTTGAGATGCTGTACATTCTTTAATCATCCGGTGTCAGTTGTACAGTCTATAGAAATTGCTGACAAATTAAGTGACGACACGAGGCAAGTCTTGCCACCGTACAGTTGCCAACCTAAGGGGTTTAGCATGAGCAGCTTTTCGTGATGTTGAATTTTGAGGGGCTCAGACGGGAAGAGCCGCAAACACTCTGATTTTAAGAGTCGCTCAGAACAGTCACATGGTAGGAAAGAGACGCGATGAAGTCAGATGTCTTCCTCTTTTGTGAGTGTGAGTACTTGCCTGTGTTTGGATCACTGATGGTTGTCAATATATGATTCTGGTTCAATGATTTTGGTTGGTTAATGGGTTCTTAGGATAAAATTGGTTAAACTATTTTAGTGTATAAACCTTGGAGTGTAACCATGATGGTTTAGATACCAGTATCTGGTGTAGTAATTAAGTTTGGATGCTAACCATTTGTATTTCTACTGGCATGTTGGTTTGAGGTTTTAGATAATGCTAATCATGTGAGTTTGGTGATTTAAAGAAATAGGAAAGTGCTCGTGCATTTGAATGTTTTGTTCGTCAACATTTATGCAATTGTTACATATAAAATGATAGAATCTTGTATGAAAAGGCATATGATCTTGGCTATCACATTTCTAGGAAGACTGACTTTGCTGGTTCTTTTTGTGGAAAGTAACTGGACTTCGGGTAATGGCAGAAACCATCTAGCAGTAGTGGTCAAGAATTCACGTAATGAGAATAATTGCTGGCTGTATGAAGATTCTGAAATAGTAGAAGCATGTCATCCTTGCACCGAGTTTGAAATTACAAGTAAGGTGTTGGTGTGTGTGTTCCTACACATTTCAAAGAAACCTTATCCTGCAAGTTGTCTGGGGAAGTTGTAAGTAGAAGATGCGATAAAGTGACATGGTTGGAAGAACGCAATTTCTGGCTGTTTGAAAGGTTACTGTTTATAGTGGGTGTTACTTCAACAACTTTTGTGTTCACACGCCAGAGAATTTTGGACCATCAGATGTTGAGAATAATTCAGGGACAGCCAGTGATGTATAAGCTAGTCCTTGGAAGTGGGTTAAAAATCATGCAGATTTAAACTAGAGTTTTAAAATTACAAATCTGTGAGTAGTCACAAAAAAACTAGTACAAGTGAACTGTAGAGAGAAATTATTTGAAATTATAGGTTCTTATGACAAAGACTTGTATTATCAGAACCAGTGGGAGGTTTCATTGCAGTCCCATTGGAGACATTGATTACATTATTTACTTTGAAATATTGTAGACAGAAAATTATTTGACATTTGTTCTGAAGTCTGGCCATAAGCCATCATTTAATGTTAAGATATAAATTTTGTTTTGAGAAAGAAATACAAAGTGTTGGTTTGTGTCATTTAGGTTTAGCATATTATGGACAGTTAAATTATAGGAAGTGTAAAATGGGTATAGTCGAAGGTTGTGTATGAGTTGATAGGTTGTTTGATGTACTAGTGGTTTGTTTTATTATATATTACTTTTGTTGTTGTTTTGAGAACTCGAGTTATTTGTGGATCCCCCTAGTGCAGCATGTTTTTCGCCACACAGGTTAAGAATTATCTACGAACGTCTGATAGGGTGCGAGTACAGTCACTGACCCCTATCAGGGCACAACAGATTGGTGGCTGCGGTAAGATAGAAGAAGAAATTTTAGTGGCACAACAGTAGATGCCACATGTCCAGGAAGTCATTTTAGCAAAAGGGGGACTCATTTCTTACCAAAATTATGTGAGAATTGTATCTGAAGGTTTAGATTAAACAAATGTCAATGAACAGGAATGGCCTCCACATATGGCATGTGTGGGTTTAGTTTCTTTTTTGTGAGGAACATGTGAAAACAGCCAGCATACAGATTAATAATAGCCTATAAAATCAGCTGAGCAATGGATTGAAAATCTTCCAAATTCTTCCACAAGAACTGGATACTTTAATTCAAGTCACGGGTTATGTTGGTCTTCTTGCTTATTCCTAGATCTTCCTATTTTCCTTTTCGTCTCAGGGCATGCATACATTATAAAGCCCCAGTCATCTACCCCCCCCCCCTTGTTTTACTTCATGATGCATTGAATGCCTTAGACTATGTAGTGTTGAATGGTAGGATGACTGGTCAATGAGGAAATGGCAAGAATTTGCACAAAAGCAGCAGTGACCTAAGTGAGGACTACCCAAGCACATGCTTCCGGGGACTGAGGAAATCCATGAAAAAGCTGTCAGGATAGATTTAAACAGAGCACCTCTTAGATCATTCTCTCATAAATCTCTTCCCATTCAAATTTTTAAGGAATTATGCTGGTTAGAATATACACAGTTTAACTTTTTTTTCCCCATAACCCATCCCCCCCCCAAAAAAAATTATGCAGCAATGTGTGTAATTTTCCTAAAAATTTCTACAGATTTCCCAGTCCCATATTACAAGCCTAATGCTGGTTAAGCCAATGCAAAGGCTGCCTTCTACACACTTTCACACAAGTCTCAATTTGAGCATTTTATAGCTTTCTCTTCATGTAGTGAAGATTTTCCCAACCCCTTTTTACATGTAGTTCTAGTTGTCCATGCTAGATTTCACATTCAGTCAAATGACTTGTGATGCAAAGACATATAAAAGAAAAAGATTTTGAATCATCCACCTCCTTTATTGTTTTTTCACAAGTATGGAAGTAAATCCATTTCAACAACAACAAAATAATTATTTGCAATTGTTTGTTTAGAAGCTCAGCCTATGTTCTTTATCTGTACTGCATATTACAGAGTAAGTTAAAAAAAAGTGTTTTTGTGTCAAGTCTGTCAATATTCATTTTAGGAAAGGTTACATAAATTGTACCATATCAAAGTTTACCACACTTAAGCAGTGGAAGATCTGTGTGGCTGACTTCATATTGACAAATTAATCTCACTGTACATTATGTGGGCAATAATCGAAATTTGTTTAAGAACAGCTACAAAATACAAACATCACAAACTTCCCATATGATGGGAAATTCACCTAAATGGAACTGCAAAATTAACAATTTCAGAATTATTATATCAAAACGTATGGATAAGAAGATAAAAGATTCTGAAACACTGAAAAAGAGTTCACAGTTATATGGATTTTCATAACACTGCAAAACATGTATAGAGCAAAGTTCTCCAAGATTTATTACAACACACTTCTTAACTAAAAACGCTAGGAAGTTAATAAGATAGAAAATGTATTTAAGTAAATTAAAGTTCAACCATTTTCATATTGCTGAAATTCACATGTTACTTTCCAGCTTCACATCTGTACAAAGAAGCAATAGGAAAAAATAAATGCACAAACACTTTGTGCCAAATGATTATACACCTCTGTGCACAAGCCAATGAAAAATTTAACAAGTGAAGCAAAGGTAAATTGTGAATTAACAAAAACTTTCATGTGACTTGGTATTCAATTATTTTGTAGGTGATCAAATGTTGCGCACAGTTCTTCTATTATCTTCAAAATTAAAAGTTTATGAAAATGCACATTACCCACTACAAAGTACCAACCACAGAAGACTTGCACAGGTAAACTCTAAAATTTGCATATTTGATTCTCACTATTTTATACAGAGTAATTAATGTTTTCTTACGCTCCAAAGACTTGGAATACTCAGTATTTGCAATCAGTCAAGTTACATTACACATATACTGCACAATCTCAGTTTCGCTTAAAAAACTCATCAGTCAGGATTACGACATTTTCATCGTCACAAATGAAAGCCGCTGGTTAAAAATCTTTTATAGTCTCTGTACATTTTTTTAAATTGCTTTACAATTCATCGTGGTCATCATGTTCCTGAAACAAAAGAAATTAGAGTAAAAATAATTTATATGAATGAATCACTGCCATTATAATAAGCTTTATATAAATTACTTTCCATCATCGGTATTGTATCTGACTTCATTAAAACCACAGAAGCAAATTACTCGCTGCTTTTGTATCTAAGGTTTCAATATTGACGTAATCCACAAATACTGAAGAACAATTTGACCAGACACAGAATAAATGAAATTCCCATGCATAATATAACACTGTCCTGTAATGTAAGTCTTGAGTAAAGAAAGGCAGTTTCCTAGTACACTACTTTGTTTGATTTGAATCACAATATACATGTCAATTATACAGATTAAAATAATCTGACACATCTGTGTACGCACGTTTGTGTCCAAATCTTATTTATCATTTCTTTTGGTAAGCTATTTTCCTTAACTCATTTAAACAGTATTCAAGAAACCTGTCATCATTAATGATGAATATGAAGAACTGAGATGAAAATATTTATCAGACATTATTTTACAGCTGCAGTTAATCCCCACCCCNAACAACTGTCTTTTCAAACAAGTTCATACCTCTCCAGGTTCTACATCCCCTGCATCTGTTGAATCATCATCGTCATCATCGTCGTCGTCTTCATCATCTTCTTCTTCATTTTCTTTAATTGATTTCGCTTCTTCCTCACGCTTCTTCCTTTCCTCCTCATCCTGAGCTTCTTTCACCTTCTTCTCCCCCTCCTTCCAGCACAAATTAAATTTTTACAATAATGAATCATATATTAAATCACTGTATAACTATTTGACTCTGTTTAAGTTCCTGGGCTAAAACAGCAATGATACTGTTTGATAAGTGACCAAAAATTCTTGTACGCAAAATCGGTACAGAAATGAAACCTGTATTTTGCTTGCTTCAATTAAACAAAACAAAGTTCATATACTGGTACAAAAAATGAAAAATGTATATTGACGAAATGTACATAGGAATATTTGGTGAAGACTTCAAAATAGATCTTATCACTTTCATAAATAATTTAATCCAAGGGCACAGGCAGTTGTATAGGAGAAATATTATATCTCAGTATCATATTGTGTGTGTGAAATTCCTCCATGTTATTCTGTCACAACAGAAAATATAGATACACCTTACATTCATCAGTTATTACATGCTTCAGCCCACTGAGGCATCATCAGGTGCCTGACTTGTTACATTTACCTGTATCTCTCTGCTACTATTCGTTACATTAGCCAGTGTTTACTTATTGGAATACTGTTTTTTTAGTAATACTGTCATGTATTTATGTGCGACTACTGATGGGGTGTATTGGTGGAAGGGTTTATTGACCACACGTATACGCCATTCAGAACTACACTTTACAGATCACTAACCCACACAGACTAGTTAAGTGTCCTCAGTCTGTTGCAGTCTCCACTAGACATTCCCTGCCAACGGCTTCTACCAGTGGAGATTCTTCAGTTTCCTGCACTCAGGTCCTCTTGTTACAGCTGCCAGTGCAGAACTCATCAACTGACAATTCAACTAACTCGGTCCCAGGTTGGTGGCCATTTCACACCCACCCAATTCTCTCTCACCCACCTGCTACTTCACACCACTTCACTCAACTAACAGATTACAACTGATTAAAGCTTGGCAGGTGTCCTTGTTATATAATCCCAGGGCGAACCCTTAGGAAACACTGCCTCCAACAATCCTATTGTCATAGACAGCAGTCTAGCATAGGCTGGATATCATTTCCACAAGAATGTTTACTGAGCCATCGTTTAGAAACAGGTGCTTATCTGCCTACTGCACAGCAACGGCTGTACTCCTCTGTTTCGAGGTCTCTACCCAGCAATGGGTCTATATGCCAGAATATGTAATGCCATTATATACAAACATTAAATTAAACATATATAAAAGGTTTTCTTATGTTGTGTTTGGGAGTGGTAGTTCTGTGTAGATATGTCTCTTCTGCCGATGTATTTCTTTGAGAATTCATTCTTGTCTTGTATAGATGTAGTAAGTGCTTTGTTGGCTTATGGGTATGTGATTGCATTTTCATCTCATGTTCCTTGTATCTGGGAGAAATGCTGTGTCTTGTATGTGGTGGTTGTGAATGTGTGGCTGCATTTCAGTTCTGTTGCTTACTGTATCAAAGAAGTATAAGATACACGATTACAGATTCTGTTATACCATTTACATATACCGTACCGTGATCCAATCATATACCCATTTATATACTGTAAAATTCCTGGTTGTCTGGTATCCAGGCATCCTCAATTTTCATGCCACCAACAAAAATTTCAAAGAAAATTTTCCACTGTTACAGACTTGTTCAAAAACAAATGTGTGCTGCACATGTTCACCTGCAATGTGGTGGTTCCCTCACTCACCACTGGCAGTTCTACCCATTGTCTTCCCCCGTGCAGGTTATCATCACAATGGAGGTTAGTTAAATTTATGATTGTGTCACAGCATTATGTATCTGAAATCTTTAACCATCAATTTTCTATACTGACTAGGAAGGCTTCTTTCTCAATGTGCAGTAGTATGTAGAGAGAATGAAGTGAGAATTCAGAGTGCAGGTTCCATATTTTCTAAGAGGATTCCCTCCAGGCCATACCGAGTTACCTGCCAGCTCTGGCCAGTTACAAATGTATACCAGTGTATTTTTATTGGTGCGCTATGGGATACTTACAAAGGTAGGCTTCCAGACATCCTCTCCAACTTTCTTGGCATATTCAGGGTCATCTGTTATAAGCACATTATCAAAGATTGTTCCTGATTTCACCTGCCACAAATCAAAGCCAATACCACAGATTTCATCCCGCTTATACAACTGAGGATCTGGTGAGTATTCTGGATTGTCAATTTCAGGATGGATCCATGGACCCTGCAACAACCAATGAACATATTACATTTGTAGCATAAACAAATGATGTGTGTAAGAACTGTCTACCAAATACTGGCACTTTAAAAAAATTTAAATTTTGCAAACATGTTAATCACTTTGTAAGATTTGAGGTTTTCACGGCGGTGACTATGAAGAAAGCAGTCTTCTGGGATGTGGCACCGTGTAGATATGGTGTTAACCAACGTTTCGGAGGAACGTATCGCCTCCATCTTCAGGGTAGAAGGAAAAATAAGAAATCCACAAGTGAAGAGACTGTGAGAACCAGTACAAGCAGTCTGCTTGTACTGGTTCTTATTTTTCCTTCTACCCTGAAGATGGAGGTGATACGTTCCTCCAAAATGTCAGTTAACACCATATCTACATGGTGCCACATCACAGGAGACTGCTTTCTTCATGTTAATCACTTATTTTCCCCATATAAACACGCAACAATCAATCATCAATGAACTCGGGTTACTGGAAATTTCAGTTCAACACACAAGAATAACAGTTGTAACTACCAATGTAACAAAATCAACAACTTGAACACAACAGGTTTCCACATCACAGAATATTGCTATTTACTGCTCAACACTTAACACTGAATACTATGCATGACTGAAACAGCAGAAGCAGCAACAATATTAACCATCTCCCCATCCTATTGTGCCAGACTACTTCTGGGCTTACCCTATTGAGGAGAGGCAGCACAGTCAGTACAGTAACTATGCTAGGCACTCTAGAACCACAGAATTGGGATTCAATTCCTGGCAGGGACAGATATTCATATCTTTATAGCATCCAGACCATCTCTGAGGCCCACCCAGCCTAATATTCAATATATATAAGGAGATCCTTCCCTGAAGATAGAGCACCCATGGTGCAAAACTGTCCACTCACTCTGTTTACTTCTATATGCTGAGCTATATATCCACTCCCCCCATACCTCATCACAGGATATTTAAATAATTATGCACAGGGAAAATTTTACTTTTACTTAAAATAAAAAAAAAATACAAATAAGATACAAAGTGGAGGAGATATGTGATGAGAACACTGGCCCCACATATACAGTATTACTAACAATGGCACTATGAGATGGGAAAGAAAATAAAAATGCTTTCGAGTATGAAGGCAGGAAATTTTCATAGCTTTCAGGGCAGAAGAAAGTGAAATTAACACAGAGAACTGCCAAATGACAATTATAATATATTCCTGATTATTCATGGGATTATTATCTGCTTTCGTACGTTATACATCTGCAGTTTTCTTTTATTCGGAGCAGTATACACAACTTTAACTCTCCTCAATATGTGTTTCTAACACTATTTCAATTTTATGTGCTTCCTTGATTATGCTCTGATGTAATAAGTATGCATTGCAACATTTTGCCATATTATATGCAGTCTGTATGTTTACAGCTAAGAGTGCAGTCAGTATTTTTAATAATATGCCAGTACCTTGTAATTGGGGTTGTCAATCTGTTTTGGTTTCCATTCTCCCTTGTATTCTGGGTTATCGATCATAGGCGGCTCCCATTCACCATCCATTTCATCATCCCAGTCCTCAGGCTTACTGGCATCAGGATCGGGAATATGCTCTGGCTTATCCCAGTCTTCTGGCTTCTTGTCATCTGGATCATCAATAGTCGCCTTGTCATCCCAGTCACTGGGTTTCTTAGCTTCAGGATCTTTTATTTTCTTGGAGGGAAGAAAGTTCCAGTCAGCTTCCAAATCCCCGGATTCTACCTTCTCGTTGTCAATCAGAACCTAAATCATGACAAATCACACCACTGTGAGAAACTGTTATAACACTTGCTTGAAATGTAAAACTTGCTGAATGGAAGGGTGGTACAGTTTGTATACTGAACCCGATATTGTAATATGCACTAAGAGAATAAAATATTAGCTTCTTAAAAACAACACTGAAGTGGAACTGGGGTGACCACATAAAATGACTATTTCAAACACTTCAGCTAATTTTGGGTGAAGGCATCTGAAATTCAAGAAGTTTTATAATATTCAGGTAAATAATGACTTTATTAGTTTACAAGAATATTTAAACTTCAACAATGTGTAATTCTCTCTTTCAGGGGTTTATGCATCTAAATCAAATGATAGAATCTTACCTCATACGTATTGTCTGGCTTAACAATCAGCGTATACAGATGTGTATAAACATCATCCTTGCAGCGAATATCCTTGTTAATAAGGAGATTCTTGCCCTTGTAACTAAATATGACATGAACTTTCTTTGTTCCTGGCCCACAAATGTCGGGCCCAAACATAATTTCATATGGCGTTTCTCCATGCATGTCTTTTGGATCCAACTTGCAGTCAAAGATTTTTGCATATCCACCTCCACAATCAATATTCTGTTCATGTTTCACTGAGAACTGAATAACTAAAGGTTTATCCTTATTGCTAAATGGTTTGAATTTGGTGGACAATGCATAAAATCTAGCATCTTGTGATGTCTGTATACCTGAAAAGAAGAAAACTTGTTTATCCATATGTAACCACTTGTCTAAACACCGTGTATACTGTGCAATAAGCTCTCATACAGAAATACTGAAATCTTTAATTTATCTTAATACCTACTGTTATGGCTTTGTGTCCAAACACAAAGCCATAACAATAAATACACAGCGTAATCAACTCTGTTCTTCCTGCAAATTACCAAGTAGATTAGGTGAAACCACCTAGATGCTCTTCCAGTTTAGTAAGGCTGTGGTGATACAAGCTGCTGGTGGTCTAAAAAGTAATAACTTCATTAGAATCCCATCACACTCATTTCAGCACCTATATTGCATTTTGTCGTTGGACTACTATGTGAGATGTGATCAAAAGTAATGAAACTGAATTCATTTGTCAGGTAAATTGCACTGCACAGATATGTGGCCATAATGAACATATCCTGATATGATAATGCAAGTCCAAGTGTGATTACAGCCATTTAACTATCTTATTGTTTGCGGTTAGCATTTAAATTCTGTGTATTAGTCACACAGGATTAATAATGTCACAGAACAATGATCTGCAATATTTTTTAATGGGAAGACTGGAAAGATGGTAACAAATTTATCAACCGATGCAAACAGCACTTAGAAATGCAATAATTAGCCAAAGTGTTTGGATGCTTCCTACACTTTAAAGGATATGTTGAAAACAAGAGGCTTTCTAGTTGTCTTTCAGCTGCTACACAATCCTTATACAACTGCTTAGGAGCAGAAAGGACAATGATATTCTGTGGCTTCACACTTCCTTGATTATGCTGAAAATGATGAACACTTCTTAAAAGAATATTACAACCAGTGATGAAACATTCGCCTACTATTACTTACACAAACAAACATTAGAGATGGGCCTAACTGCTGGCTCTTGCACCATGACCTTAAATGATCTATTGTACATACTCCTCAATTTTACCCCCTCACCTATCCTACATTTCGAATGAAGCGTAGGATTTTACTTACAGGGGTATCATGATAGTTGTCTGGTTCCAAAAAATAATGGCCCAGGTGACAAAATCTTAAATAAGCTATTGTCTCACATTCGCATAGGATGTGTATGGCTGATTCATGTTTTTTTAGCACCTTTCACAAATTTGGCTGTCAATCTCATTTTTATAAGCAGACATTTTGTCAGTTGGTCTGCAGTTTTGTTACCAACAATACCCTTGTGACCTGGCACCCACACTGGCTTAACTCTGTTATGTTTGGTCAGGATGTATTGATGGCAGTCCCAAACCAATTTTTAGTTAATCTTGTAATTGCCATGGGTTATCTTTCCAATATGTATAGTATTTTAGTTTTCACATACTGAGTCCGAATATTTTCCATCAGGTTTCATAAGCTTAACTGCCTAAATATAACATTTATACAAAAACTGTTAACATAATATAAGTGGGGGGGGGGGCGGTACAGACTTTCTGGCTAAATAATGCCGATGAAGCTATGGGCTCTCGATGAATGTCTGCTTCAAAAGTTTTAGTGGCAGGGCACAAAATATGCATCTTCAGGCCACACAATGAAGTACCAAAGAGTCTTTCAAATCTAGACAAAATTAGTATACACGCAGCTGTGCTATTTGATGGGTGCTGAGGCCAGTATCATACTCCAACCAAAAATGTACATGCAGATGTTGAATGTCTTATATAAATAAATGTCTGTATACATGTTTTATAGCTAAATACGTATCATTTCCTAAATACGCACCTTTGTCGTTTTCAGCATCGTTAAAGAATTTTCCATTAGACCGAACGAATTTGCCAAATTCCTTCCCTGGATGCTCAGAATACACCCAATTATTCTCCCAGGAATCTGAAATGTTTACAATTCGTGTTTATTTAATTTGTACGTATAAATAGTGGTAATAATGACTCTTAGATAATACTTATGAACACAGTCTAGTACCAAATATATACGTGGACTGCCCTATCCAGGATGCGGCTAAATGTCATACATGAATAATACAACTGGAAATGCCTACCGTCCAGGAATTTCTCTTCAAAATAAACTTCTGCATTTACTACAGAGTATGCCATAAAGGCACACAGACTTAGGAAATACAGCATTTTGTTGTGGAACAGAAACTCACACAACCGGCCACACTCACACACAAAACCTGACGAAGTAACACCGGCACAACGGGCACAACCAAGAGTTCCGATGCAACGCAGTAGACAGACAGATGGAATACTGCTATTGGTTCATTCATTTCAGCCAATCAATGCCAACCACGCTCAGGACAGATAATAAACTCGCTCGAAAGGAAGGACCAGACTCTATAGCCTCTCTGATCTGTAATCTCTGTCCGCAACATCTTTGATGGTGCGTCATCATCAATCAGGACCGTAGATAATTAATACGCTTAGAATATGTCTGTATTCTAGTTCTAATACACGATGGAGAACATTATCCAATATCGGGGATCGTGATGAATAAGTAGATCTTATATTTCATAAATAGTCCTACTCAGGGTATGACGAATCCTCAGTTATCTTTCAGACAGAGTATAAACGCGCGTTCAGAACTTTATAGTTGCCGAACCTATAGATCTGATCGATGAGTTTCCATGGCAATGAAATATTTGTTGATAAATATGGTGGCGGCTTGTAGTTAGTTAGTGTAGCATTTTCACTGAAAGTTTGAAATTAGAGTTTCTTTTAGTGTAGTCTAGTTATGTAGTTTAACAGCATGTTTAAAATCGCCTGGAATTTTCTCTAATAATAAAATGTGGCCACAACGCAGTTCGCTTCTCCAAGCATTATCTGATTCAGAAAGTCTATCAACACGGTCAACACCGTCCAGTTACAGTATATCCAAAGTACAGACTATGATGAAAGTAAGCATTAGTGAAACAAATAAAGGTGTTAAACCACAAAAGGAATTCCTCTCGAAAATTGTAGACAATACGAAACCATCGAGATTAGGGAAATCATGTTCTGAGCTTAAAAATTGTGATGTTAATAATGTTCTTCAAACACTCAAACGATTTGATGAGAAATATTGTCGAAAACCTGTAAAAGAACAGAACATAATTCCAATTCGAACTGACGTTTTATTGCCTGCCTTTCATACAAATAACAAATCTTCATCATCTAACGTGAATTCCAGTATAAAATACTCAGGTAAGGACCTTAGTTTTTCATCATCTCCAAATATTATTCCTCTGAATTCTGGTAAAGATATATCAAACAAAGAATCATTTGATAAGCTGGGGAATCCGTTGACCAAAATAAATAGTTCTAGCCTTGTAGAAGCACACCTAAACTGAAGGAATGGTTTTATTCAACAAGAAGTAGATCACTCCCTGCATATTCTTTACCAGAAATGAAAATATTTCTCTTGAATCCAGTGTCCAATATTCTGATTGTTTAGTATTTTCAGATAACACTACTTCCAAATTAGAAGTTCAGTTAAAAGAAAGGTTAAACTAATCCAAGTCTGTGTGAACTCTTTAAAGGAAGTAAACCATATCCTGAGTTCTGTTGAGCATTTCCAAAGGGAAAGGAATCAAGTTAGAAACAAATCATCTTCAAAAACGCCTGCATGTGGAGAAACAAGATATCAATTCAATACAAAGGAGTCAAAATTGGAAATTCGTGATAAGCTGAACAATAGTTTAGCTGATAACTCTATTCTTGAAAAACTTTGCTTTAAACTGGCTGAAAGTGAGGACAGATTGGTCAGTTACTGTAGTAATTCAGTAGGGAATATATTTACAAGTTCTGAATTGGTGCTTAATCCTCAGATGGGCATGAGTGTCCTTTTAAAAGAACATGCAGATCAAGATTTGTTATCAAGTAATGTCCCTATTTCAGATAAGAACATCAACAGTCACACAGAGCTTGCTAAAGCTAAGAAGGAAACTGAACCAGAAACAGGCCAAGATAATTCAGATGTGTCAGAACTGAGTGATTCAAATGTTTCATCAGTAGGAAGTCACCGGCTTTTCAAACAAATGCCTTATAAAATTCTTACTTTTGAAGACCTTATTGCTGCACAAGAAGTGCAAAACTTGGTAGATGAAACAAATTCAGATATTCAAAGTGGTATAAAAGATTTGAGAGAAAAAGAGGTAATGTCAGCAAAAGAAGGTAGCATTATTAATGATACAAGAAAAGTCATACATTCAGAAGGCAAACAAAACTCTGTATTAGAATCAGAAGATGAAATTAGTGAAGTCATTGAAGAAGAAATTGAAGCAGAGAGCATTGGTTCCTTAACAGAGGACAATAGCACCAGCATCAATGATTCATCATTCAGAACAAATTCATCATATGAACGAATAATGAACCAACTTTCTGATCATTCTGCAAATCAAGATGTAGAAAAACATATTTTCTCAAAGGAACAAAATGTGTCAAGTGGGCAATGTGATATAAGCGATAGGTCTTTGTCTTTACTGCTGATGTCTATCAAATATAAAGAAGAAGCTAGTGATAATGATATTGCCCATTCTTCTTCAGTCAAATCAGAGTCCAGAGATAACATTCCATCAACAGTACATGGAAGTGGTTGCCCTTTAACAGAAGAAACAAGCAATCCTTTGGATTCTCAAGAATTTAGGTTCCTTAGGTCTAATTCTAATAAAACTGACATGAAACCTTTGAAAAATAGAGAATACTGCAGCATTGGAGTTCAGACCGAATCTGACATGATTTATCATCCTATATCACATGCAACAATTGAGACTGAACATTCATCTTCCAGTCAGCCAGTAATGCACTCAAATACTGGAGAATCACGAAGTCTTCAGGAGATTATCCCAGTGTATAGGTACTACTCGAGAACAATGGAATTTCCAGGTTAGTTAAATTTCTTTACCCATTGTTTGAACAGGAGACAAAAATAGCACAGAAATAATACTACAGAATTAAGTCGTTGAGAAGCTAATAGCTGCCCAGTTACTAAACAAATTCCCAGCATTTTATGGAACCCAAATGTTCTTTATTATCTTCACAAGAGCCACGAACTGGTGTGTATCCTGTGTCAGATTAAACCATTCCTTATTCTCCATCCTATTTTTTAAGATCCATTTTAATATTATCCTCTTATCTATGCCTAGATCTTCTTAGTGATCTCTTTGATCATCCTAATAGTACACAGTGGTGAGTACAAATAATGAAAGTTCTCATTATACACCTTTTCTCCAGCCTCCTATTACCTCTTGCTTCATAGGTCCAAATGTCCTCCTTGGCACCTGTTCTCAAACACCCTCTGACTATGCAAATGTTAAATTGAAGTTATCCGTGGCCATGATTAGTTATTATGCCATGAAGACATATGGAGGAGTGGAATTGTAGCTCCACCATTCTTACCCCTGGTGAACCAATCCCAGGTACTCATTGTGTAGGTGATCAGATGATCAGATGGGCCCTAGAGCTGCTCTTGACATTATGGAGAAGAGAGAAATCCCATGTCCCTACAAGCAATCAAACCATAGTTCCTCAGTTGCCCAGCTGGTAGCCTAATTGTGTAATAAGGGAACTCTTCTGGCTCCTACCCTGAGACTGTGTTCTTCCTTTAATGTCATAATTCAAGTTCCACACTCAAACAAATTACTGCTCTGTTTATTTCAATCTTTATGATTTAGATAGCAGAAGGGAAATCTAAAGGTTTTGAACGAATGGTAGAAAATATTCACTGAATTTGACCTGCTCTTTCATTTCTTCATGAATCCAATTTAGATTTGTTAGTGTCATTCCCAAATATCCCAACTTTGCCGCGTGTTTGAAGTATCTGTTGTTTGTCTGTATGTTGTGATCGTGGTCTGCATTCTGGTGATGAGAAATCAAAATGTACTTATTTTTCTCTGAGTTTGCTTCTAGAACAACCTACTTAACTAGCATCCATTAGAACTTCTGTATTTTTTAATTGAATTTATGATGTCCCCCCAATAAATTCATATCATCAGCATGGACAAGAATATATATATATATATATATATATATATATTGCCGAGCAGAGGCGGAACAGTGGAGTTATGCAACCTGCCTCTAGGTACTGGCTTGGTAAACATTTCCATGTATCAGAGAGTGCTATGAAAGCGGTGATGTCATCAACAATAGAGACAGTGTTTTCCATAGCAATAGAGTTATAATTGAATGTGATTAAGAGAACTTGTAACCAAAGTGCTAATAAATCTGATCGTTCAGTCATCCAATCTAGAAGCCATTGTTTTTGTCACACGTTGTTTACACATGACAATATGAAGACAAAAAATTCCGGAAAATGTAAACATCGCTGCCATGATGACAAAAGAGAACACAAGAAGGAGTAATATAGAAGGAGACTCAAACACATCGTTGTTAAATTATTTTAATAAGAATTTGGTTTTTTAACAAATATACCTTTGGACTTAAACGTCTTGAGTGGCAAGAAAGTTTAGAATGCAGCATAGCAGTTCGTATGAATCATTGTATATACCTGAAGTGGTAATAAGGAGTAATAATGAGGGAAATTGAAGCAAGAATAGTTCCATTGGAAGGGAGCCGCTCTTTAGAGAGGACTTGAGCACAAAAGCATAGGAATAGCCATTGTTAGAAGCCATTACCAGGTAAGTACTTAGTGTGTGTACTAGTGATTTGTTAAGTGTGTGGAAATTAGCGATGGCGCTATAATTAAATGGAATTATGGGTTTTATGTTAAAGTGATCAATAAATCCAATCAAATCCAAAGTCCTGTGTGTAGTCACTCCATACTATTTGACAATGCATAGAAAAAAGGTTCCAGATTAAATTAAGAAAACATTTTATGAATATGAACCCAGGATATCTTAGTCAGTGCAGCAACAGGTTGTGTGTTGGACAAGCAAACAAAGTCGATTAACAAATTATTTTACAATTAGTTAATAAAGAATACATCAAGAATATTGTACTTCAGTAGAGAGTATATCAGCTAATTATATGAGTTCTTTGTTGCAGGAAAAGGAACTCCAGTTGATTTGGCATTCAGTGAGATTATAAAGCACCAGATTGAATTAACAAAACACTTTATAAATAGTCAGCAAAGAATGTATCAAGCATATTGTACTTCAGTTGAAAATATGTCGGCTAATTACAAGCCTGTTACTTTAGAGGACACTAAACAGGTAAGCTGTTATCAACTAAATGTTGTTGTCATAAGCAGAATATGAAAAATTACTGTAAATATGTAGCAGTATGCTGTGATGGTAACTGCTTTCATGCCCTGAGACACGTATGCTTGCCCTTATCCTTCTGATTTCTGTTTCCATTGTTCACTGCATGACAGTCTATAGATTCCAGCTCTAGCCTCTGCTTCCTGCTACAAATGCAGTGGGAGTAATCCAAGGAGGACCTCAATTGCTGCTATAGGAGCCATCATCATTGCTCCATTAATACCCAAGCAGGCAGATCTTTGTAGTTTGCTAAATTCACCTTGCATATGTTAAATTTCACCCTAGGCTTCCACACACTGACACAAAGGTAGTTGTGGGTCTTTCATTAAAAGCATATAACCAATACAGCTCCTTTCGCCAAATTCACTAAATTCTCGCAAACATGCCTTAACAGATCCAGAAGTTCATTACCTTATCCAGCTGCTACTTCCAGAGAAGACCCTTGTATAAGTTTAGTCCACAGTACTTAACATCACTGGATAGCTGGAATATGTTGCCAAAGAAGGTTGATTCATTATGTCTCCTTATGCCCCTCTTCTTAGTAAAAGGTATGATTATCTTCTTGTAATGTAAAGGAAGCTGCAGTTTACTAGGAAATGTAAATTAATAGTATTCACATAGATATATGTATATATGTTCCTTTATTTGTATTATTTTGATTTAATGAACTTGTTAATCTTTTTCAGTTCATCCATAATCATTTCAAATACAGGCACAGATTGAGAGAAGAGCTGAATCAGTAGGTATTCTTTCAAACACACACAAAAAAGATAGACAGTTCTTACAGTTTCATCTGATTTGTGAAGCAGAGCATTTTAGTATGTATTTAATAATTAGTCCTTTAATTCTGTTCTTCTTTTTTAATTTCTGGGAGGCCTCTTTCATTTTACATAATTTTTAAATGTTCCTGTAGCTCCCCTCTCTATAATTTTAGCATTTCTATATTTTTAAAACACTCCATATAACTTACTAGTGCTGCATTCAACCTAATATGGTAGTATTTTTCTGTCTAACCCTTCATATGCTAAACTTAACTTTCAAAATAAATTCTTTCATTTATTTGTATAGTTCCATGCTACACGATTTCAATTAACAGTAATCACGGATTATAGGAAACCTTGAGAGTTGGCAGATATTGCAATTAAATTGAAAGTAACAGTGTCTGATAATGTAACTTACTTGAGAGTTCACTAGGTAAATTGTACCTGTGGTTCCTCACAGTAATGTAATAAGTTTTCAGGGTGTGACATCTTTGAATACATGTTATAATATTGACTGCAGTACTGCATTTGTGTCTGTACTCTTCTCAGTAATATTTGATTTTACAGTCTGTTTGTTGATGTTAGTTTTGCACTGGCTAAATCAGGGTAGCTATAATATAAAATCCTTTCATTTATGAGTGTCCTTCCTTAGGTTTTCATATGCTGCTTGGCAGCCATAACAATTTGTCATTACTTAAAATCAACCATGTCCACCTCTGTCTCGTTACTTGATATCCACAATATTATATTTAAGCATCCTGTTACACTCACACAATATATATGAGACAAATTCTGTCTTAAGTGCAACAATTTAATTGTAGTTCAACAACTACAATTAAATTGTTGCACTTAAGATGGAATTTGTCTCATATATACTTGATATCCATTTAATGCCTGAACCAATCACTATGCAGCAACATGGTGGGAAATAATAGAACATCACTCAGTGGGATTGGGGGCACATGGTAGCATAGTTGGTTGAGGCACTATGCTACAAGCCAGAAAGTCGTGGGTTCAAGTCCTGATGAGGTCATTGGATATTTTCAATTGACCTCTTCCTTCCAGCTGCACTGTGGCCGTGGGATCGACTCAGCCTCTAACAGAAATGAGTACCAGGAATTAATTAAATAATTTTCCTGGGGAGTAAAGCGTGGCCAGTGCCTAAGGCTGACAACCTTACCGCCATCTTTGAGCCGATTGTCTAGATAATGTGGGACCCTCAACGGCTCACAACCCTATGGGCCTTCAAGGCCTGTTACAGGGATAGCTTTACTTTTTACTTTACTCAGTGGGATCATATATTCATAAGATTATCAAAATAGATAATCAGTTTCATTATTTCAGTGCAGTTTACTTTAAAAGAAACACAGGTAAAACATAGATACCAAGTTTCAGTGACTCTTCTTATTATTATTCTAATTGCAGTGCAGTTTATGAGTACTTTTGGTGTCTTTTCTCCCTCTTTTTTGTGTCTACTAGAATATGTGTATAGTTTTGGATGTTGGGAACAAGCCACATAACCTGCTGAAAGTTTTCCATTTCGGCAAACGTTGCATTTGTCATATTCAGGGTGAATGCCTTTGGAGGGAGAGTTTCTGAAACCCCTATAGAGATCTGACAGTGACCAGTGAGGGGAAGGTGGAGGCGTAATTGGACAAAATAAGGAGCAGAGTACTATCCAGTAAAGATGAAAAATGTTCAAGAAAAGAGTTAGTGTTATAAACTTTTAGAGATCAGATGGTCAGAAAACAAGGTGATTGAAAGCATTTTAGTGACTCAAAGATTTTGAAAATCGGCAAAAAAAAAATTTAGCTCTTGTTAGGAGAGGAGGTGATGAAACTGTTTTAGCAATCACATGGCTATGAGAAGAGGTATTAAAAAGTTTTAGCACCCATTGTGTTTGTCAGCATGGGCAAGTTCAGCAGTTTGATTATGGTACAGCTGCCATTGAGACACCAGATTGGAGAACAAGCAATCAGCAATAGCTCAGCACTCTCCAGAGACTAAACGCATCAACGACTTCAACAGAATAGAGGTCATGGCCAACATCTGGACCTACCATCCCCACATCATCAAGGGACTGTTTGAAATAAATGAACACCCTCATAGCTTCAACCATGAAGATGGATATAGACTATGATGTGTAATTGTACCAACCGTCTTACAGTGCACACAATTTCACCTTTCTCTTCACTACATGTTTCGGCCCTAATGTGCCATCTTCAGGTGTGGTTTTATTTACATCAAACCATTGCACTGTATGCCATCATGTCTCCTTTATAAAATGATTAAAATGTATATATGTCATGTATAATAATAAAGTTTATATATTAAAACTTTTCAAGATTTATCATCTATACGTCGCACTTCAAATTTCGTGAGTTACATCAATCCTCTCCTATGGGAGTATTCTTTCTATATTCTTGTGTATATTGTGTCCTTCCCTTGTGACTGTGTGCGTTGTATAGACTAAGTGAAGCCTTGCTTCATCTTTTCCTCCAAACCAATCACTCAATCAACTTCAACAAACCACTGAACTTAACCCATAGAAACTGACACAGTGGGTGATAAAACTTTTTCATCACCTCTTTTCCTAAACCCTTGATCACTAAAACATATCTCATCATCTCCTTTCCTAATCCTGTAGTCAGTAAAATTTCTAATCACCTTTTTCCCTAACATTTTGTCGCTAAAACCTTTTTCTTCACCCCTTCCCCTAACCACATATTCATTACAATTTTTTGGTTGCCTCTTTTGCTAATTGCGAAGTGTCTGCTTTCATTAATTCTTTTCCTGGCCATCTGGTTGCTAAAAGGTTTTTCACTGTCTTCTTTCCTCAGCAGTGTGACCACTCCCTATTGGAAAGAGCCCCACTCCTCTGTTTTGTCCAATGACACCTCCACCTCCAACTCATTGCCCAGTGCCATGCCTATATAGGGCTTCCAATCCTACCAAAGACATTCATTCTCAAGATGGTAACTGCAGTGTGCCAAATCACTGGAGATCCCTTAGCATTCTATATGGCTTACTTGAAAGCCAATTATATATTCAAATCCAACTGTGAGAACCTAACTAAAGAACAGGAATCCCATGTCCAGAGTAGAAAATGGAGGGTTTTGGTGGCCTAACCTATGGTCTTATAATATATACTTCACAGTTGGGAATAAATATTCTGTATTTAGAAGATGTATTTATTACATAAAAAATGAGCCAGGACATCTCATTCAGTAAAGCGACTGGTTATGAACTGTACAGTTTGGAGTCAGTTTCTGACAGCAACAGGTTTTCCTCTGCAACAACTTTAAGACTAGCCATCTATCCAGTGGCTAGTAAATGATTTTCCACAGGAGTAAAGCAGCCAGGACATGATGACAAGTTATGCTCCTCCATCTACTGCTGAGCTCAAGAATGCACAAAACCTCAACTCCCTTTATCCTATACACTTCCTTGGCTCTAATCTCATTCACAATGACAGTTTCATTTCTACTACATAAAAGTATAATTAAAATGCAAGTATGCAGTAGAAAAATCTGTGCATTAATAGTGCAATGATAAATGTATATGTTGATTACCAATAAACGTCTGTGATCAATTGTAGTAATTAGAAGTAAACAATTGTTTACATTAAGGATACTGCTACATTTTGGAAATTTTCAATAAATGATTATTATGAAAATGCTACTGTGGTATGTGTACATAATACAACTTCTTGTATGTTTTTCCTCGTTCCTTTAAACATGCTGATAATGGTGTTGCTAAATAACAATAAAAAAGGATAAAACACTAAGGATCTGACAAAAGTCTCTGTCACTGTTTTCATGACTTAAAATCATTGCACCCTGATGTTTAAACTGTTCAAGAATATGTCACTGATTGTCTGAGAGCATTAAGGATAAGAATATTTTTTTAAATTAGTTTTATTGTATGTTTCAATATTTGGCTTATTTTCCAATTCTCTTTAATTTATATTTTTATTACAAAAATTTAGAAACGTGGCAGATGCCTGGCTTGTACCACCCCTACTCCACTGTACCAATGCATACATAGTACAATGTAGCCTAAAATAAAGAAAATTGTTAATGTTTTTATTGTTACTGATAAAGAGGTTATAAGAAACCTGTGTATGGAATTTTGGAGGGGACCAACAGTTTTAAAGTGGAAATTTGAATGACTGGTGCAATAATTTTAGATTCAGTAAGCATAAGCTGTAGAAGGAGGTGTACGAATTCAACCCACCACTGAAGTACATGGGGATGTCAAAATAGAGAGTAAGCCTAATTTTTGTAACAAAATTTAGTTTCAAAGGAAAAATTTGATGATTAGGGACCAACTTCTGTGTCACCAGTGTAACAGGTTTGTGAATTTCTGTTTTATTTTACAAAATACCCTCCACAGTGAAATCTTATATATGCCTATGCTACTCTCCCAGCATGTATCACTCATAGATATTTAAAGGGTCAGTTTCAAATTCACAGAGTAGAAGTGTTTTGTTTCTTACACTTCTTGCATTATGTGTATATTATGTTACCAACTGTGTTTATTAAGTAAGAAACAGCCTTATGAAAATTTTGTTTATTAAATGTTACTGAATGGTGTTTGTGGATTGAAAGGTGCATCACATCTATTCTTTATTCAATGAACTGTTGTCTTCCAATGCTTGTGGTCTGAAACCAGTATATTGAAATTTCTAAGCCCCTTTCTCCAATACATCGCCTACTTTAGCATAATTTTTTTGCCAAGATAATTTAAACAAGGCATTTTATGTGAAAACATGCCAGTTATTGAGGAAAATTAGCGTTATGACCAGCATTTCTAGGTAAGGTAGTAGAATGAAATTTAAGGCATGTATGAAACCAAATGAAATATTTAAGGATGAGAGGTGTTGAAGGACCATATATTTGACATCAGTTTTGCTATTGGTCACTATAAAAGAAACGAAGGCCTGGGCTTCATTAATTAAGCAGCATTCCATGAGGACGTATGGGGGAGTGGAGGTATAGCTTCACCAGTCTTGACCTTGGAATTATATGCAGGTCAACTTAGTATAAAAGTAATTTAACCAGATTTTGTCCTTCATATTGTTTAATTCCAGAATATTCTAGAAAACTGCACACGGGTATCGCCTGGCTTTCTTGCGGGGGGGTGGACGGCCGAAAAATTTTCCATAAGCTAACAAGTATTTAAGACTATTTTCACTAATTTGAAAAATACGTTAATTTTCATTATTAACGTTTGGTGGATTTCCATTTCTTAAATATTAATAGTTTTCCCCCAAATACTGCAGGGCGGTTCCCTCACCTTCGCTAACATTACCAAAATGACAAATGTCGATCTATTCCATCCACACCTACATATTTGGATATATTTGGATTTTCATTTCTCCGCCATAACAGACAAGTGCTGCTCCTTGAGGTAGTTGCAGTAACTTGTGGAGCATCTGTGCCTATTGAGCACCAAACGATACGTACAGGTTGTTTTGCAGGTAGTGCTACCTATATTAAAAGTAAGGAACTAAACTTTTTTTTTTTTTTTTTTTTTTTTTATTTACATAGATTTAGCAATCAGAATTACATTTAATTCTATAAGCTANGAGGATTATATGGCTAGCGGGAATAAGCAGACGATTTCTGCAGTTTGTACGGCTCGGTCGAATAGCAACTGCCTGGGTTTCATTGTTATGAGTGTGGTGTCATTGTTACGATCCCTATAGGTGGTATCCAGTGTCGTGTAGACTTCAAGATTAAACGTAATATCAGTTCGGAAATATATAACTTTATTGTACGAGTTTACAGCTTCAAACTTGGAGAGCATAAGAAACCATTTACTTTCCCCGTTTTTATCTGTCATCTAAATTTGAACACAAAGGTAAGATTAATGCAATCTAAAAATAGTTTTTGTTAAGTTAACTAAGGCACTTTCTTGAATATGTTTGACATATTGTGCATTCTTCCGTGATTAACCGGGAATATAAGGATCAGTTTTCAGGCCAGTAAATTGAATACTGCATGTGAAATAAAAATGATTGTTATTAGAATTAGTAATAATTATTTTAGCGGATGCCGTGATTTAAAATATTGTGCTGTAGGATTCAGTTGTTTGTTACACATACAATATAATTGTAATATATTTGGAATGAGGGAGAACTACTTCAGCAGTGCAAGGAGTGTGTAATTGTACATATTTACAAGAATAGTGATAGTAGTAATTATCGAGACATCATTCATATCAGGTAAAAAAGGAAGGTAAAGCTATCCCTATAACAGGCCGTGGAGACCTATAAGGTTATAAGAAGTCGAGGCTCCCACATTTTCTAGACAGTCGGCTCACAGATGGCGGTAAGATTGTCAGCCTCACGCGCCGGCCGCCCTTTACCCCAGGAAGATTCCTGGTACTCATATCTGTTAGAGACTGAGTCGATCCCAGGGCCATAGTGCTGCTGGAAGGAGAGGAAACTATTGCGGGTCGTCAGTATGAATTTCGGTGTAACAGATCAACTACAGACCAGATATTTTTTGTATTTGTCAGATACTGGAGCAGAAATGGCAGTAAAATGAAACAGTTTATCAGCTATGTACAGAATTTAAGGAAGCCTATGATTCAGCAAGGAGGACGGCATTTTACAGTATTCTCACTGAGTCTGGAATATCCCATAAAGTAATTAGGATAATTAAAACATGTTTAAATGAAACCTGTAGTAAAAAAGGCAAAGTTGCCCCCTTTAACTAATTAAGCATCACGCCATGAAGACGTATAGGGGAGTGGATGTATAGACCCACGTTTTCTTTACCTTGGAACTAGTTGAAAGTGAGTCGTCAGCTTCACGCCCCGGCCGCTTTACCCCCGGGAAAAGAGCCCCCGGTACCCATTGGATAAGAGGCTGGGTGGGCCCCCGAGCCGGTTTTTACTACATGGAGAAGCGAAAATTCTTGACCCTACCGGGTCGTCCAGCCCGTAGCCAGTCGCTATACAGACTGCGCTATCCCGGCCCATGAAACCTGCAATAAAGTATGTATAGGTAAATATTTGACACACAGTGGTCTAAAACCAGGGGATGCATTATCAATGTCCAACTTTAGTCTAGAATACACCATCAGGAAAGCCTGGAAACCAGGAAGGATTGAACTTGAACGGGACAGTTCAGCTGATACAATCGTGTGTCAGTATTCTGGGAACATCATAAGTACGACAAAGAAAAACACACTGACGCTAGTAAGGAGGTTGGTTTAGATGTGGACAGAGAGAAAACTAAGTAACAAGTTGGCCGCGCCATAGCTCAAGCGGTTAGTCGCTGGCTTCTCACCGCGGTGCCCCGGGTTCGATCCCGGGTCTGGTCAAGTGGGATTTGTGGTGGACAAAGTGGCGCTGGGGCGGGTTTTCTCCGAGTACTTCGTTTTCCCCTGCCAATCTTCATTCCACCAAATTCTCCATCATCATAATCACCCGGGGCAGGCTACAATAGGCCAATCAGTGGCCGCCGTGCCGAGTGGAGCCAGTTGGACTCCACCCCCCACTAAGCGATTTTTTTTAAAAAGTAACATGTTTCTGCCTCATCAGTAGAATGCAGATCAGAGTCATAACATAAAGATAACTAACAGATGCTTTGGAGATATAGTATTTTGGAATGGTGTAAAAATATATTAAAATAGACGAAGCTGCGTGTATATATAATTTTGCCTGTAATTTCACACAGCTATGAAACTTGGTCTCTCACATTAAGGGAAGAACATACACGTAAACCGAGGGTATTTGAAAACAGGGTGTTCTTGATATGTGGACCTGAGAGGGATGTGAATAATAGGAGAATGGAGACAACAGCATAAGTTGCTCTCCTCGCCAAATGTTGTTAGAATGATCACATCAAGGGAGATGAAATGGCGAGGTCTTGTAGCATTCATGAGAGAGAAGAAACTTGAATAAAGTGGTAGGAAAACCTGAAGGAAAACCTAAACGCAAATGGAAAGATACATTAACATTAGACATATAGAAATAGGATGGGAGGGTATGGACTGGATTCTTTTAGCTCAGGGTAGGGATCAGGTGGCTATGAACACGGTAATAAACCTCTGAGTTCTAAGAACTTGTGTGAAATACTTGACAAACTGAGCAGCCATTATGCCAGCTCAAGAAGGACTCTGCCTCAGGCAGATAGTTATTGCTCAAACATCGTCTGTAGAACCGATTTTATCAGTTTACTTAGATGTTACACTATTGCATTAATTAGCAACATCTTTTGACACTGTTTGTCGTTTCAGGCTGTTTTCTATTACGGTACATGTTCAACACAAATGAGAAAACTTTTCAGGTACCGATGTACGCGACCAAAACAAGAAAAATTTCCATATCAACAGGTGTCCGGAAACATATAACTTGTGAGTTATTGCCGAAAGAGCACAATTTTTAAAAGTGCTCAAAATGTCCTCCATGAGATTCTATGCACGCCTCGACACATCCCATCATGGACCGCCGCATCCGTTGAAGATGCCAGGGAAGTTGAGTATAGTCTGACAGGCATCCACTATGGGATGGTAAAGTGCCTCTTCATTGTCAACGGGAGCTGCATAGACTAAGGATTTTAGGTGTCCCCACGGATAAAAATGCAGAGGATTCAAATGTGGCGAGCCTAGATGCCATGCAATGGGTCCCTCTCTACCTATCCATTGGTCATTATAGGTTTTATTGAGAACATCTCGTGCAGCACGGCAAAAAAGTGCCGGAGCACCACCATGCATGTCGATATGGATATTTTTTTCTTGTTTTTGTACTTAGAATTCATGCTCAAAATTTGTCCGCATCTCTCAGTTACGAACTGTCTAGAATACTAGTTCTTCTGCACTGTTGAGTCAGTAAGACTGAATAGTTAATGCTACAGTAAACCCCGAAGGCTATGGTTGAAATCGCTGAACTTCAGTTTCTAGCACTTGTTTTCATTTGTTTATTTACCATATCTAGGTAATCCGGACCGTGTATGGTGTGGGGTCTAAGAGAAGGCTTATATAGAATACCAAAAATCCACCCAAATAATATGTAATAAGTGCTAGGAACGTACGTAAATTCAGCAATGTAACTGTGAACTTCGGTTTCAATCAAGATGACGTTCTTCTGCCATGCGACGCCATGTAATTTGATAGATAGTTACCAAAATTCTGGAGAAAGTGTTTGTTTTCATTTTCAGGGTTCTACCCCGAAGATGGAGGCAGCATATTCCCACAAAATGGTTGTACCTGTCTACCAAAGTGCACGGTGTCACACCCAAGAATACTGTAATATTGATACTTATAGCCGCGCCTTGAGAATTGCGCAATTCAATTTGATCTGTTGGCTAAATAACAGAACTAATATTGTGTTTGATCTTAATAGGTCAATTGAAAATAAATTTAAAAGGCGTTTGAAGGTTTAAGTTGTGTTAATACTACGGCCGCGCGGACTAAGGCATGTACAGTCTTTGGCCCCTGAACATTGGGATCCCGAGTTCGAATCCCATTCGGGGCATGGGTGCTTCTACGCATTTCGTTTGTGTTTTAAATAGGCAGATGCCTTGTGATGGACCCGTCTTCCGTCCACGGAATCGTACCAAACGTGTAAAAGATCTGTAGTTTCCAAAGTTAATTCTGAACTGGAGCAGACCATGGAACCTTGCAGCAATTGCTGAAAGAGTTATATGCCTATGCAATAGAAAGCAGTTATTCTTTTCGTTAAACGTATAGCACAATTCAGCCTGAATATGATAAATATTATCAAAGCATGCCGGTAATCACTAGACTAATATCATGTTAAATTAACAGATAAAACCATACTGTGTATTTGTGAGATTAACGGCCGTGTGGAATCGTTGCGCTGACCACGCGACACCTTCTATCCGCTAGAGTTGGCATTAACTTCGCCGACAAGCGGCGGTCGCTCCGTCGGTATAGTTCGCTTGCGGACTAAAGCAACGGAGTTTGTTTTATTTGTTTTTCTCTTGCTTGTATTTGTGAGTTCGTTTCACGTCGTCTCTGAATACTGCGTAATAGTTTACTAAACTCTCCTCATCCGTGTTAAAACCACAATGTGTTTTGTGTGAGATTAATATATTCTACAAATATTGGTACGATAGGCTACAGAACTTTCGTAATCCGGCCGTTTATAATCAAGGACACGATAGGTTATGCATATTATTGGCAATGAGACGGTAGGACCTAACCAGTGCTGCATGTCCTGTCCGTGACATATTTAGTGTTTCTGTGATTTGTAACACTCATGTATTACAGTTCTAACTTTTTATAAATCCAAGGAGTAATGTACGTTCTTTAAAAAGATATCTTTTTGTAAGCAATGGAGCAGAAAGGAAACCAGCTTCGTTCATCAGCCCAATACTGCTTGGTTACAGATTCTGTTGCTTGGCTATGCTAACTTTGTTCCATTCTTAAAGCGTATAAAAATTAATGGGGAGGCCATGCCCATCAATTACGAAATCATTGTACAGATTACAGTTAAATCTGATATAGGGAGTTTACGCCAAAAGTGTCTAGAAAATTTACTTTCGGTTCATATTCATCCGATATAACCCATATATATAGTGTGACGTGGATGACGCAACGAGAAGTGGGGATCGCGTGAACTCTGTGGTCTCGCGAGTGACGTCACATCCCCCCACTCCTTCAATCAGTACGCAACTCTCTGTGGGCGCCCCCCTCTCCCGCGGTGACGTGGCAGAAGAGCGGCTGTGTTGTTACCAAAGGATAACGCAGCAATAAACAGCTCTCGACAGCGTTGCTAGCAACACCTGTAAACACGGCGTCAGGCAACAGCGATACCTATCACGTAACTGTTTTCTGTGTTGTCCGTGCCGAGGCTAAATAAGGAGCAGCGAACACTATTCAGTAGTG